CATTTGCTTATTTAGATGGACTCCCAATGAAACTATTATAAGTATATCTTGACAATAGGATGCTGGATTCTCTGCCATTGTCCGTGCCCGCCATGTCAGGATACATGTAAATGATGGAATGATGCGCTTAGGACTGTTCATGGACTGTGTACTGACATAATAGAGGGGAAGTTGCTGGGTAGGAGAGGCGTTTTTGGAGGAGGGAAATTTCAGAGCCTATGGAACTGTATCGCTAAATAAAAATGAATAAATGAACTTGGAATGAATGAATGTATAAATAAATGTTGATTAAAAAAAGAGAGTAGAAAGTTGTGGTCAAGACTACACCTGATAGACTATTTTATTACAAACACAGGGGAAAATAGTTGGGAGAGAAGTGGATGGGGTGGGAGGAGAAGTGGAAGCCCTAAGCCTACAAAATTGCAAAATGGAAAATAAGAATAAAAAAAAAAAGAAAGAAAAAGGGGTATACCAAATGTGGGTAACTGGAGACCACCTGGAGCCGTGAGTCCTGAGCAGTGGAGATCAATAAATTCGTTGTCTTGCTCCCCAATAGCCACTTTATACTGAGTTCCTTACCTCAGTTCTGGGTTTCCCGAGTCACTTCTTAGTTTTACCTGCTCAAAGTGGCCCAAGAACAAGGCTTTTTCACACATACTAAATAATTGATTAGCCTTTGCATGCATCCCAAAGTTGCCACATTAATTCAGAGTCCCAGGGGGACATTTCTCTTGAATCAGTGGCTGTGTTATTTGTGAGGCTCATTGGGGGTAGACCTGAGTTTGCTTGTAGCAAAGTAGGGCTGATAAAATTAAATGAAGTGGGGCCAGGAGTAGAAGTGCAGTGTGCTAAGCCTCTCTGTGGGATGGCACTGTGCCATTTTGGAGTACTGGTCGAAGTCCTAGCTGTTCTGCTTCTGATCTAGCTCCCTTGCTGATGTGCTTGGGATGGGAGTAGATGATAATCTAAGTATACTTGGGCCCTTTCCACCCATGTGAGAGACCTAAACGTAGTCCTGGCTCTTGGCTGTGGCCTAGCCCAGCTCTGCCTGCTATAACCACTTAGGCAGTAAACCAGCAGGTGGAAGGTCTTTCTGTCTCTCCCTTTCTCTAATGCTTTTCAAATAAATGCACAAACAAATCTGTTCATTTACAGCTTTAAAAAATTGAGTATACATCATTCTTCACATCCTCAGCACTAGCCACAATTAATTAAAACAAATACTTCAAAACAAAATCTTTTAACCTTTAGACTTGCAACAGATATTCCTAGCTCCTGGTCCCCCAACTATCTCTACTATACATGGGCCTCATCTACTTATTCTAAATCAATTTTATGTGTTTTATTTTTTTTCTCAGTTCTTCATTTCATTCAGAAATGAAGCTAGACTGAGTAGCAAGGATAGGTTTTATAACAGTGTGTAAAGTTTGCAGGGTTGTCTCTGTAATTGCATATTTGCAAAAAAGGAGAAAATCAGTACATTTTTAAGAGCAGATTTCATATTCATTTTCAAAGTTAGAAATAACATTTTAATATATTTTCTAATAATAATGAGTATATACGCCTGAGTACTCTAGCCATAGTGTCCAATATCATTTATCGGATACTTACAAACAGACTAAGTTATCATAATGTCTTACGGTGCTAAAAATCCATTCTCTCTCTCTCTCTCTCTCTCTCTCTCTCTCTCTCTCTCTCTCTCAAACTAATATGTTCACCCTCTGGCGGCCAAAAGCAAAAGTGCATTTCTGCTTCATCATTAACCTGAACCAAAACAGATAGAAGAAGGCCAATGGTTTAAAAGAAGTCTACTCCAATATCCCAAAAAATTAATAATTAAATTAAATATAGTCATTTTGTATTCCTTTTGATATCACTTGATATTTACCATTTAAACTGACTTTATAACATTAAATGTAGATTTTACAGTCGAGAGTAATTGCAGGACTTATGTAGTCGAACCTCAAGTTAAAACTGTAGTGAAAATGAAATTTTTGACTGTGTTGTTTTTAAATCCATCCATGAAGCAAAAAAAAAATCTGGTAAAAGGAATTGATCATACTTTTTATACTTATGATCCTATTTTGATTTTGTAAATCTCTATAAGAACTGGGAAAAGTCATACAAGTAGTTTTATTTGAATTTTTTGCTCATTTTATTCAGCCATCTTACCTATATCTATTATATACTTGTTACGGTTTATGTGATAGATGTTGAGGTGACAATTTTCTTTGCTTGCAACTTAGTAAGTAATACAGATAAAGAACATCAATCTCAATGTCATGTGGGCGTTCTATAAGAAAGAGTGAGCATGCAGTGTTGAGGGCCATGAAAGCAGTCATGGCTGGGGGAGCCATTAGAGAGCACGTTTTGGGAAAAGTGACTTATTCACTGAGATCTGTATGACGAAGAGCCAAGCAGAGGGGAGATTTATTCAAGAAGGGAACACATGTTCAAAAGTCCTGATGTGGCAAAGAAAGTGGAAATTGGGAGAAACTATGCAATTTTGGGTGAACTGGAGTGGTTGAGGTGAGAAGAAAGTTTGAAGAACATGGTGCTTCCAGAAACCCACTAGTGTTCAGTGTCGGAAAAAAGATTAAAACACCCTGCTGAATTTAATGACCAGGATACTATTTTGTCCTGGAAGGGAATAATCAATCACATTTAAATTAATGGGAAAGAATAAAGAGTGAAAATGGTTACGGCAAATGTGGATGATTCTCCCAAGTTTTTTTAAATTATTTTTTAATTTTATTACATAATTCCATAGCCCCTGGGATTTCTCTTATCTCCTCCCCAACTCTCCTCTCCCCCTCACTGACTTCCCCCTATATTATTTCTATATTACAGTTCTTTCTAAATGATCCTAAGTCCATCATTCTGCTATGTAAGTGTATCCTAATACTGTGGCATGGCCAATGGCAGAGAGACCAGCATCCTATTGTCAAGATATATTTTATAGTTTCATTGGGAGTCCATCGTTGATCTGGAAGTAGAGCATTGCATCCTCACATCAGGATATGACAGTCTCTGTTACACCCCCTTAAATGAAAAGCCACAAAATAAAATCAACAATAGGAAAAAAAATAGAAATTTACAACACTATGAAGTTACATAGTATGCTATTGAATGACTAATGTGTTGCTGAAGAAATGAAAATCAAGAGCCTTCATAAAGAAAAATGATGTTACTGTATGACCCATGAGTCAGTGAAAATGTAATATGAGAAAAAAAACTTCTGAAGAAATGAAAGTACAAAAATATTGAAATCCATGATACAGTTTCCACTGATCTTTATTGGTGAGATGTGTCTCCTGCAGGCAATAGATAGATGGGTTTTGCTTTTTGACCCAGTCCACTAATCTATGATGTTTGGTAGGTTTAAGTCATTTACGTTCAGGGTTAATATGAATAGGTGTTAATTTGGTCCTGTCATTTTAGCAATGTTTTGACTTGGTCTTCTGTTGTCATATTATTGGGATGTTCTCTGCATTTGACTTTGGTTTTGGTGGGTGCTATTCCTTTTCTCTTTCACAAGAACATCTTTGAGTATCAGTTGCAGGGCATGTCTAGAAGTGGCATATTCTTTGAGCTTTTCAAGTTCTTATAATGTGAAGAGGAGAACAGAAATAAGATCTAGAGACCTGGAGTGAAAGGCTTCTTAAAAGACTAGACCAGGCAGTAGAAGTGGGGAAAAGCTGCAGATGTTCGATGGAGACCCTGAGGAGACAGGCTGGGATGGAACCAAAATAGCTGGGATACCCATGTTCCTTTTAAATTAAACCACATACAAAGTTACTTTTGAAAATAGCATGGTCAATCTTCAAAAACTACCTTGAAAAATGGAAATACCCCTCAAATTTAAAGAAGACTTTCTTATATGTTAATCAAGCATATATGGTTGGTTAAACAATCACCAAAACATTGGAATAAAGTATCTAAAACATTTGAATTTTCATGGATATTTCTGTACCACAGTAGCTAAGTAACCCCACATTACCTAATTCAGTGAAAGATTCAATAACGTACCTTGTTTTATATTCATTATGTAAGTGGTTCCCTTGCACTTTTCATGCACTGAAAAGTTTCACCTGAATCAAAACAGTTGTCTTTTCAATAATTGAAACTGGAACTGCTAAGACAGCTGCTTTTCCCTCTTCTTATGAATGTATGATGTGAGGAAAAAAAGACTTGGTGTGTCCAAGTACTAATGGTGGAGGGGTAGGCAGACTTAACAGCTTGTTGCTTTTTCTTGAGTTTCCATGTTCCAAAGATCTGACTTCAGTTAGCCTATCAGGATAAGATAACAACTTAACCATATGTTTTAATATCATAGAGACAATTTTCTCTGGTTTAACACTAGGTGAAATATATCATGTGTCGCATTTACTGGATTTATAAAGCACTTGGTGATTACTAAAATGTTTTCATACTTCATTACCTCTTAAAACACATAATTTAAAAATTAAAACTGCTAGATAATAACCACTCATTTTATAGATACCCAAATCAAGAGCCAAAAATTCAAATGACATTTAAACTATGTGATAGCATGTACTGGGCACAAAAATAACACACTGCATATAGTACTCATATTTCAAAAGCTGACATTTACTATAGCCAAACAGTCTCTAAATGATATTGTCACAACAGTTCTTAACTGCTTAATATAATCTTCGTGCCTTGTACTGCTTCATTAAATACTATATAGACTTAATTTTCATTATTTCAAAATAATTAATTACTGTTAGGGCAAAATATTTCTACTATCAGTGGATTTTATTTATTTTATTTTTATTTCATAGCCTTCATTATTATTTATCAGTACATTTTTACTTCATAAATGTAAAGATGAATTTCTTCAAATTTTGCTTTAATTTGTTTCTGATTGAAAATGGAATGACTATTTTTGTACTGAATTTTTTTAATTAAGATAATCCAAAGGTGTATAACATTTTGTAGAATTCACTGATTATTACTTTTTAAAAGCTTATCTGTAATTTTGTTTTGACTTATCTAAACAAAAATATGTAAGATTTCCCACTAGTAAGGCCAGAGATTAAAAACATATTTTAATGTTAAAAGTATCTAACATGAACATGAAGTATAAAATGCATAAACCTACAAACTTATATATATGTCAGTTAAATTGATCAGCATTACTTGACCAACAAATAACAGACTGAATATGAAGAAATTCTTAGTTTGCCAGTTCCAGGTGGAAGCATTTAAGATATCAGGGAATATACACAATGATAGATCCATTCTTGTCGTTCATTCAGAGGCATTGCATGCTGACAAACCTGCAAGTAAAAACAGAAAGCTGCTTACTTGTATATATTGTTTTCTTTGGCTATTTTTTCATTAGGATCTATACTTCTTGACCTTGTGTTGGAAACACCCTTCTGCAGAGTCCTCACCAGGGAATGGCAATGTATGAGCTGAGGCCCAATAGAGAATGCAGTGTAAATCCCATTCTGATGTAGTAGTTGTGAGTGATGCATGAGAATGTGGGTAAAGGAGGGCGGTAGAAAGTCAAGTAAACACCTTTCCTAACTAAGCTTAGAGTGTTTTCCATAATTCTGATTTGAGGAACAAAGAAAAATTCCCCCTTATCCTAAAGTGTATTAGAATTCAATGGACCATATAGGTTAGAATATAAAACCTATGCCATTTTCTCCTTAACAGATTCTTTGTGGGGGGGATTGGTAGATGGCACAGAGGGAAAGGTGGGATGAGGAGGCATCTATGATCTGTCCCAGTTTCTGTCTAAATCAGAGTCCCAGAGTCCCACTAATATCAAAACTACAGCAGTTTCTAGCTGTTGACTTAACTGCATATCTAAAACTCGGAGGTATTTTATCTGAATTTTATTAAGGCATATTTTTGGTTATCCAGATTTTTTTTCTCTCCCTCTCAAATAAATCTTTTTTTTTTTTAAAATAAAATCAATGGTTAAGATTCAAGAACTTAGCCTGTGAAGTGTCACATCAGCACATCACGTTGGAGAGCCTCGGTTTAACTCCCAGCTCTGCCTCACAGTCCTCCTTCCAGCTAATGCAGACCCTGCGAAGCAGTGCGGATGGCTCAAGTGACCAAGCTGAGAAACACAGATTAGGTCCTCAGATCCTGGTGTCAGCCTCAATTATTACAGATATTTGGAAACGGCATCACTCTCTCTACCTCTCAAACTTAAAAAATTCAAAAATTAAACTTGCATTAACACTTTGTATTTCCATATGGTGTTCTAAAATGTTTTTTGTGTATATCACCATATTTTTATCTTTATAGTAACCTTATGAATTATCTAAAACCTACAATATTATCTTAGTTTCACATGTAAAGAGACTGAGACAGACAGCTTAAGTGAGCTTCCCTTAGTCACTGAAGCTAACAGCAGAATTAGATCAGAACCAAAGTCTCTTACATCTCAACACAGAATGATGCAGACATGAATGTCAGTTTTAATAAATCTTTGACTTCAGTTCCTAACCACAACATCGAATGTTTATTTAATAGCATTTCTTTTTATTCATAGCAGTAAAATAAACATTTCAAAGAAATAAAATACAAGGTTTTAAGTAGAAAATAATGCATTACCGTTGTAGACCTTGGTGCCACCTCCACCACATACGTGTTGAGTCCTCTGCTGTTCACACAATTTTTACTTAACTCGTTGTTGACATGAATGTTCAGCTTATTGTCTGACTAAGAAAAACAATTTGTGAGTTATCAGTCATTTCTTTAATAAACATAAACAAATATAAACCCCAGAGTAATTCCAGAAGTCCAGTTTTTAAGATCACAGTCCATCACAAATTCATACATACTGGCTTCTTCTCTTTATCTTTCCTCATTCATCTCATTTCTGTTACCAATAAACTTTTCTTCTAAATTATTTTTTCTTCTAAATATGACCTTAATATTGATTCCTAGGCCATATGGATATATACTAGAGCCACATTATGTTATCCTTGGCTTACTAGAGCAATAGCTTGTATTTCTTTTGATTACTCTCCAGTATTTCTACTCTCCATGCATTCTGATGTTACCTCTCAAATAATATTCTTGCAATGTCCATTTTAATGTATTACTCACTCATTCAATAAACATTTTTAGTATCAGTGATATGTCAGGCACTGTTCTGGAATCCTGAGATATTGAAATAAAAGACCCCAATGAGCTAGCTACAATCTCCCTAGTGGAGAAGATAAAATGACAATTACAAACAATTGCTCAATCCTATAATAGAAGTATCATTGGAATCTACAGAGACAGAAGATATCTGCTGCCTCTTGTCTACTCCAGAGGCCCTGGTTTTTGTTACCTCTTGCACAACATTCTTGCTTGAAATTCTGGCCTAAGCTAATATTTATGCCTAATTTAATTTGAAACCTGTAAAGAACGAATAATTATTTATTATGAACATTACTAGTAAATTAGGATATTTAATTACCGTGCAATAATAGAGTGAGGACGATAACCACAGTAGTTTCACAGTACAATAGAGGTCCATCTTGTGCTTCATACCTTATTTTCAATCACTGATGTTATCCAGCTGTCATTATTATAAGTATATACAATTATGTTTTCATAGCCATCCATTAATTTGGCATCACCCTTGTTAAGAACAAATTTACATATGATCTGCTCAAGCTGCCCACTACATGTCTCCATACGGACAGCTTTAATTCTTGGCTTGCACTTTTCTGCATGGATCTCAATAACAAATGGGCAAGCCTGATATGGAAGAAAAAGAAAATCTTTGATTAGTCTTCCAGCAGAACTGAGAAAAAACTTATTCATTTATTTTTAAAGATTTATTATTATTTGTTTGAAAAGCAGAGTTAGAAGTGGGAAAGACAGAGAGAGATCCTCTACCTGTTAGTTTACTCCCCAAATGGCTGTAACAGCCAGGACCAGAAGAGGCTAAAACCAGGAGCCAGGAACTCCATTTGGGTCTCCTGGGTGGGTGGTGGGGGTCCAGGCATTTAGGTCATCTTCTCCTCTCCCAGGGACGCTAGCAGGGAGCTGGATGGGAAGTGGAACATGTAGGACTCAAATGGGTACCCACATTGGATGCTGTCGGACAACAGGTAGTTTGATCTACGAGGCCACAATGTGGTCCCCCAAAAGAAATCAATTTGTTACTAATCTATTTATCTTATGCTTTAAGAAATTTACCATATGCCTTTCTGATACACTCTTGGAAGAAAATATTTGCACTGAGAAGTTGAAGAAGCATAAACCTCTTTTGGGTGGCATATTAACAGATATTTTTCATAGAATATGATAACGTTTAGCAAGTCAGAAATACCTCCTTTCTGACACCATAATACTGTCACTGCGCTTTGTTTAATGCTAATTAGTACCATGTAATTTTGTCTTCTTTCTAGCTTTAGGCTTACAGAAACGATTCATCAAAAGGCTCTAAAGAAATGATGTTTAAAATTGAAACTTAATGCATGAATATAGAATTAGAAATTTAAAAATAAATTCACAATACAATCTAAAAACACCCTGGATGGAGAGGAAGAAAAGGGTGAATAGGTGGCAGAAGGTGAAGAAGATGAAGATGATGATTAGAAAGCTGTCCAGCTGCTCCACCTCCTGTCTGGGTCTCTATTGATGACCTGGGATAGCAACAGGACCCATTAACCCACCCAGGAGACGGAGGAAGCTCCTAGCTCCTGGCTTTGGACTGGCTCAGCTCTGGCCATTGTGGGCATTTGAAGAGTGACCTAGTGGATGGAGGAGCTCTCTCTTTCTCACTCTGTAACTCTTTATTCTTTAATGAAAATGAAGTAAATCTTTAAAAAAAGTAAGAAAACAAAGGAATAGTATGTTCTTAAAATATTCATTATAGCATTATCTAACATATGGCTTGAAAGTAAAACCCCTTGTACCATGAAAAGTAACAATTAATGAATAAGTAGAAAGTCAAACTCACATTTTTCAAACAACTGACAAATTTTAGTATATGTGCTGCCAAAGCAAGCACAACTGACAAATTTTAAGTGACAGAAACATTTAACACATTTATGGAGTACCATGCACAGATACTGTACTGTCAGTGTCCAACCAGTGTAAACATATCTATTTCCTCAAACATTAAATCTAGTGTAGTGATAGAGATTGGGGGCTGGCACTGTGGCGTAACAGGCTAATCCTTCACCCGCAGTCCCGGCATCCCCTGTGGGTGCTGGTTTGCGTCCCAGCTGCTGTATTTCTGATTCAGTTCCCTGCTAATGGCCTGGTAAGGCAGTGGAGAACAGTCCAAGTCCTCCAGTGCCCATATCCACATGGGAGACCTGGATGAAGTTCTGACTCTTGCCTTTGTATCAGCCCAGATCTGGCTGTTGCACCATTTGGGGAGCGAACCAACAGACGGAAGATCTATTTCTGTCTCTTCCTCTTGCTCTGTGTAATTCTGATTTTCAGTAAGATAAACAAATATTTAGATCTTTATTACCTCTGTTTTTCACAAGCCATTTTATTTCTGAGCCAATCATATAAATAATAGTAATTATAAAAGGTGATAGTATACGTAGTGCTTGGAATGGGCTAGATACTGTCCAGGTGCTTTACAATCATCAAAAAACATATCACTTATAAAAAGATCAGAATTCCACAATCTCAAACAGATACATTCACCATATTTTAAGAGAAATTTCATTCTTTAAGGATAGTTTCCCATTTAACTCAAACTTCAGCAATCCAAGTAGCAATCTCCACTTACAGACTTTTTGAAACGATCATTTTTTCCTGCATACAATATATTCAAATTCTTTTGTCTCTGAGCTATTGAAATGCTGACAATAAATGTCCAGAGGGAATAGCAACTCGAATTAACTGGCAGAAACATGCTGTTGCACTCAGTACACATTGCTGTAGCACTGAAATTCAAGAATTTGAGAGCCCAATAAAAAAACTATGTCAAGGCCCGGCACAGTAGCCTAGTGGCTAAAGTCCTCACCTTGCACGTGCCAGGGTCCTATATGGGCACCAGTTCATGTCCTGGTGGCTCTGCTTCCCATTCTGCTCCCTGCTTGTGATCTGGGAAAGTAGTCAAGAACAGCCCAAAGCCTTGGGACCCTGCACCCCGTGTGGGAAACCCAGAGGAGGTAACTGGCCCCTGGCTTCGGATTGACTCAGCTCTGGCCATGCCATTGTGGCCACTTGGGAAACGAATCAGCGGACGGCAGATCTTCCTTTTGTGTATCTCCTCCTCTCTGGATATTATAACTCTTAAAAAAAACATGACAAGAAATTGTTCATAGAGTAAAATATTAGGTGCACTAAATCCCTGGAAAAAGAATTCCTGACCTCCGTCAGCTTCAGGGCTCTATTGTAGCCCATCGAGTGTAGGATCACCCACAGGTCCTGGGGATCACCTCCTCGGTCATTGGCTTCCATCAGATTCAACTCCATAAATCCTTGTCTGGTTAGTTCATTCTTCTTTGTTTCAAAATTCTCTGTTAAAAACAAACAAAGGTTCCCTACCTATTTAAAAATGTATACATTTAATCAAATGTCTGCTACTATTTGTAATTGCTCATTTTAAAGGTGGCTTTGTGAATTTGTAAGCAGAATAAAAGTGGAATAAGAATGGCTTCAAACATGCCTAGTAGTCATGCTTCTAATTTCCTACAAGTACAACTAATATCACAGCACATACTGTTGTCAACAAATTCCAAAGGTGTAGGTATTATAAACTTCCAACATAGAAGTTGTAACATTTCTGCGTATAGAATCATCTGCTTCATTACATATATGAAGTTATATATTTAATTATATATAATCATATATAATATATATATAAATTTAAAAGAATTATATAAATTATATAATTTATAATTGTATAAATTATAATTATATATAAAAGATATACAAAAATTAAAGATTCATATATATTTGCCAGTTTAAAATTTCATATATATTTGCTCAACAGAACCTAGATAAATCAGATATAGTAGCCTGAAACTATCGGAGTTTGAAAAAAGTGAATGTGGGGCCTGGTGGCAGGGCCTAGCAGCTAAAATCCTTGCCATGAACGCACCCGGGATCCCATATGGGCGCTGGTTCTAATCCTGACAGCCACACTTCCCATCCAGCTCCCTGCTTGTGGCCTGGGAAAGCAGTTGAGGACAGCCCAAAGCCTGCGGGACCTTGCACCCATGTGGGAGACCTGGAAGAGGTTCCTGGCTCCTGGCTTCGGATCGGCGCAGCACCAGCCGTTGTGCTCACTTGGAGAGTGAATAATCAGACGGAAGATCTTTCTCACTGTCTCTCCTCCTCTGTATATCTGCCTTTCCAATAAAAATAAATAAATCTTTTAAAAAAAAAAGAAAAAAGAAAAAAGAGAATGTGGGATAGTGATATACTTAAGGATACTATATACCTAATTCCTCTAACATTAACTGAACTATCTCCTGGTCCTTAAAGGACTGTTAGACAATGGGGATGCCCTGGATTCTATGAGTCCACTACAACATCCTAGGCAAGGCCAACTATGCCCACCCGGTGCAGATGGTTCTGTTGCCTCTGACTGCCAGGCAGCTAATCAGCTTGAACGTGTCCCAGCTAGGGCTTTGTGTGCGCGCAGCAAGCACACTCTCCAATACTCTTTGCTTGACACCAGAGGCCCTTCACCTTCCTCTGTTCTCCACAGGTAAGCAGCGGTGGGGTGTGCTTCAGCCGCTGCTCTTTTCACTCCTGCACTTTCGCCACCCAGCAACTGTGAGAAACTGCTGACCCTGAGGGAATCTGTGCCTCTCTCTCAGGTGATTGCAGCCTCCCTTGGGGGCTTGGGGAATGTTCACGGTTCAGAGCCTTAGGATTTAGGATTCAGATCTTGTCCCATATGTCTCTGTCTCATATGGTCCCACTCCCCAGCTGCCCTCTCCTTAATGGCATCCCCTCCTCAGGTAGGGGTTGCCCAGTTCCTTGCCCATGGGTTTCTCCTCCGGCCGGCTTTCTTTCATCAGTGTTCTGCCCTATGGGTTCTTCTGCCTCCCTCTGTCTTCTAGGGGTAGATAAAGACTCCCCTTGCGATTCTCCCTTGCTGCTTCAGAACTCACCAGACTTTGTCCGAGTCCCTCTTTGCCCCAGACAGCATCACATTCACCTTGTCAGGCTGCAGGGTACCGTCTTGAGCATTACCCGCAGCTTTTCCTTGCCTGCATGACACCTGCCTTGATCCTGTAGGCTCCAGGGAGTTATGGACACCTTTCAGTCTCTTCTAGCTCTCTGCTCCACTGAATCCTGTTCCTATCTTTCCATACACTCAGCTACACTAGCCTTTTGTGATTGGCCATCTTGAAAACCCCTATATATGTTTCACACGTTAAGAGAAAAAAAGCTCACCTCTACAAACAGCCCAAGCATCTTCATCACATTTCTCACCACTTGCTCTTAATTCAAAAAAATTATATTCCTCCAGGCTAAGTAGACCATTTCCATCCAAATCAATCACTTCAAATATATCTGATAAAGCTGACCTAAAATAATCAAAACAGCAAGTTATTTCTTGTCTTTAAGATGGCTAAACCAAAAAAGTCTATGAGGATAACTCTTCAGAGGAAAATGCTAACCTGGATGGAACAACTTTTGTAAACAATGAATAATATATCCACTTACACTTTTAATATAATATAGCCACATACATTTTACATTATATGGACAAAAAGCTTCTGAAGGAGTCACAGTATCTTAACACACAGTAGAACTCAATAGTAGCTGCTTCTTCCCTTTACCTTTCTCAATTTACTTTCCTCTTTCCACCTGAAATCACATCTTACAGGGTACATCTAAGAAATCGAAGAGCTAAGCTTTTAATTTCACATTTTACAGTTACAAAAATTAATAAAGCAACTATGGGGATTATTTCCAAAGGCAGTGCCTAATGGGAAAATTTGACAACTATGGGACTAAAATCAACTTGCTAAATGTGTGGATTCCAGGAACAAATGATAATCCCTAATTCATGAATGAAAGGTCATCTTCAGATGAGTAGTGAATGAGTGGAGCAAAATTTAAATATGACTTTTTGATATATGCGTACACTGTGTTTAATTAAATGAAACTGATTAACTTAAACCTCACATACTTGTTTTTTTGTAGTAAGAACATTTAAACTCTCCGCTCAGTAATTTTCAAATATGCATCACTATTATAGTCACTATTGCACAGATTCTTGGAACTTATTCTAACTGTCTGTGTGACATTTTTCACCTCTTGAACAATCCCCACCCCAATTCCAGGCCCCTGGAAATGACCAATCTACCCTCTGTTCTCTGAGCTTGACTCCTTTTAGATCCCACATGTAACAGATCATTCAGTATTTGTCTTTCTGTGCTTGGCTTGTTCCACTTAGCATCCTTCCCTCCAAGTTCATCCACATTGTGGTAAGAGTTAAGTCAGTGAAGCAAACTCTGAGGATTTGCGCGGAGGCTTGCCAAAAGGAAAAGGCTCATGCTAGGCTACTGACACATAACCAGTATAGATGTTATATTTCTCACCGAAGTAACCGTAACTTACCTAAATTCCTTCGTAAGAAATAATTCCCCTGTTTCATCTCTACTAACAAGCAGAGCTTCTTCTGCTACCGGTTTTGTTTCTTTCTTTAGCTTACAGCCCGTTGTGGAAGGAATTAACCAGTAAATCCCAGGTCCCAGCTCACCAGTCCATCCAAACACCTTTTCTCAAAAGAATTAAACAAAACAATCATGAGTTTTAATGACTCTTAAATCTTTCTTTCGAAAGAGAAGCATTATGACTTTTCAAATCAATATTTATCAATCAGCTTATCAATTTTTTACAAGCTGTAAATTCTTTTTCCTAGTAGTAATCCTAGCACAAGACAATCAGATGTGGTTCACTATATACCTTTTTTTTAAAGATTTATTTTATTTTTATTGGAAATGCGGATATACAGAGGAGAGACAGAGAAGATCTTCCGTCCGATGATTCACTCCCCAATTGAGCGCAACGGCCAATGCTATGCTGATCCAAAGCCAGGAGCCTCTTCTGGGTCTCCCACGCGGGTGCAGGGTCCCAAAGCTTTAAGCCATCCTCAACTGCTTTCCCGGGCCACAGGCAGGGAGCTGGATGGGAAGCGGGGCTGCTGGGATAGAACCGGCGCCCATATGGGATCCTGGGCGTGCAAGGCTAGGACCTTAACCACTGCGCCACCACGCCGGGTCTGTTCATTATATACTTTTTTAAAAGTTGCCTAAAATTTGAGATAAGAAAATATATTTCTTCTAAATTCTCCAAACAGGAAGCAAAGAGATTTGTTAGAATTTCTTGGTGGGTCTCAGGACGGGGCGTCTCATGCCCCGATCCCTGACGCCAGCCACCATGTGCACGTGGTGAGCTGTCCCCAAGCCTGCCTGGGCTCCGGGGGCTGCTCCCTTCGGGGTGAGTACACCAAGGCGGGGAGGTCTCCGTGACTGGGCAGGCCCAGGGCCCACCCGCCACTCTCACTGGCTGGCAGATGGGATTGGGGAGGGGCGCAACCTTGGGCCTGGGAGTTTATACTTCCAGCAATCTCCTGGCTGCTAGTGGGTCTCAGGACGGGGCGTCTCATGCCCAGATCCATGATGCCAACCACCATATGCATGTGATGAGCTGTCCCCAGGCAGCCAGCATGCCATTTGGTGCTAGGCTCTGCCTGCTGGCTGCCCAGCCGGGGAGCTCTGGGGTTTTAGTTCTGTGAATCTCTGCTTGGTAGCTCCAGGTTGAACCCACTGTGCTTCTGGGATGTGAATCAATCCTAAAGATTCCCAATGACAGTAACTCTTCCTTTGAAGAACTTGTAATCACTGAACAATGCTGACCACCAAATACCAGCCCATGCAAAAACTAAGGCTCAGGGGTTGTCCAGCAGGCTCATATCCTATTACCTGACATGATGATGGATCAGGAGAAGGGTCACATTATGCAGGACCATTACATTAACTAGCACTCGAGAACCATGACTGGGGGTAAATTCTCTGGGGAATGTGTTGGCCAAACCCTGTGGAAATTCTAGCCCCTCTGGTTAGCTCAAGAGTTGGGGTGGTGATGGACTAAGCTAGGTGTGACTAAGCTGCCATCACTCACCAGCAAAGGAACTGACAACAGTCTGGACTGGTCAAGACAGCAGCACCCGAATGTGCATCCTGAATAGGGTGTGGAGTGGGCCAGGCTGCAACATTCACCAGATCATATAAGGCCAAGTGGAAGACCAGACTTTGCCGGAACCTGGCCTAAAACCCAATGGCATGTATGAGAACTAGGTCTGGGAGTGGATCAAGTGGAGGAACTTGGGAAACTCCCCTGGTGAGTTATAGCTCCTGCTGGTGAACATTTGGTCCAGACCTGGAGGTCAGACAAGCTGGGCAAAGTAGCTCCAGCAGCTGGCTAATGTGTGAATTGATAATGGAACCGGGTGGACTAGACAGGACTGAGCAAACCTTATCCCACAAGTGAAACTACAGACCAGGATGGAGCACAGGTCATGCTGAGCTAGGCTCTTGCACCTACTGGTCTGCATGAGCCAGGAACACTGAGCCACAGTGTCTAAGGCAGAGAGGTTGGAACAGGTGAGGGGCTGAGCCAAGCTGAGTCAGAAGAACCACTGGCATGTGCGTAATCTATGGCTGGGAACAGGTCCGGCTGGGGAACTAAGGGGACATCCTAGCTGGGTTGAGGTTCCCATCAAGTGGCACGTGGGCTGTGATGGGGGCTGTGTTCTGATCAGAAAACGGATGTAGTCTCCCTTGGCACAAGTGTGGACTGGGATTGGACGCACCAGGCAGGCCAGACTCCAACACCCTCTGGTGTCCTGGAGGGCCAGGGTAGATGTGTGATGGACTAGGCTAGGTCTCAACCCCTACTGAGCCATGTGTGAGTCATATATGGGTATAGACGAGTCATGGCTGGGCTGAAACATCCAAAAGCAAGGACCAGTTTAGGTTAAACACCAGTCAGGAAAAGTCACTGTTCCTGTTAGGATAGGAGGTGAACTGAGTAGGGATGGCTTATGGACCCCCTGGTATGCGCAAAATCTGGCACTGGAAGAGGTTCTGATGGAGAAGCCTGGGCAACTCCTCTGGCAGGACACAGACCCAGCAGGTAAGCGTAAGAAGCATGGAAGAAAACAGCCAAGCAGTCATGGAAAGTGTCCCACTGGCATACATTTGGCATGGGTCGGGGCAGACCAGGCTGAATCAGTTCACATCATCCACTGGCAAATCCAAGCACCAGAACAGTGTGGGTTGAGCCGAGTTAGGTCACGCCAAAAACCAGGGCACAATACTGAATGCCAAGGTGAGGTTGCCTGTACTGGATGTGACTGCAGCACCCAACCAGCATGCGTGAGAACCAGGAAAGGAGGGGGCAGAGCCAGCAGGGAGAATATGGAGGGGTTCCCTTGCTGGACAGCTACTCCCACTGGAGAGCATGAGCTGGGATGGGGGCAGGGCAGACCAGACTAAGCAGGGCTACAACACCTGTGTGCCTCATGTGGACTAGATCAGGGAAAAGCCAGGCTGGGCTGATTATTCCTACTGATGCAAACAAAATTAGAGTGGGTGAGGGTTGTTTGGGCTTAGCCACAGCATCAGCTGGCAGAAGCTGGCACTGGGGGGCTAGTTCTGTCAAGGCAAACCACAGAACTACCTGGAGAGTGTATAATCTGGGAGTGGGAAAGGACTGGGAGGGAAATAGTGGGCTCATCCCTCTAGGGTTACCACTTCTATGGGAGGGCACGAAAACCAGGACAGAGGCTGGGGGTGGAATGGGTTGTGGGACAGCCTGGACTACTGCTGCACATACTGGCAAACCAGGGTAGGGGACAGGCCTGGTGGGGGTTATTGTGGGTCGCTCCAACTAGGCTGCAGCTCCCACTGGTTTATGTGAGGGCCAAGTATGTGCTGGGCAGAACCAGGCTGGACTGCAACACCCATTGGTTCCAGTGGAAGTTGGGGCTGAAAACAGAACCAACCCAGCAATTGCAACCACCAGCTGATTGGGGCAATGGACTGTGCTGGGCCCTGTACTTGCTAGCACATACAAGAATCTGGTCTGGGAACACCTCAGACAAAGTTTCTTTGGGGATCCCCCCAATCGAAATGCTGGTCTCAGAAAGCTAACCAAGAAAAGACAGAAGACAGAACAGGTCAACCAATCACCTGAGCTATATGTTGGCAGCGAAATACTGGGCAAACAGAGACTCTATGATGGACTATGTCAATCAATGGATTCTTGAAAGACCTCATTGTGCTTGGAGTGGCAAGATTGGCAGCGATTCATAAATGGTGAACTATCAAAACCACTTGAGCCAGTATCCCAGAGCATTCCCTACATCTGGGACTTGGGGTGGGTGGGAAATTGGGTGGGCCTTCTTCCTCAATATTGCCCTTTAAGCATGAAGGAAACAATATGGAAATAATAGTCTTACCCACTTTCCTATAGCCCTTGAACCTTTTTACCCTAATTAACTATAAAGATTGTCAAAAATATAATAAAAAAGAAACTAAAAAGAAAAAATTTCTTTATGCAAATTTTGAGTTCCATTAATTTAAAAATGTAAGACTATTACAACTTCCTAATTTGATTCAAAAATAGCTTCATGCTTTGTAAATCACACTTAATGACACAAAATAAAAATTAAATATATTTTAGGAATTCCTTATTTTTATGAAATATACATATGTATAAGAGCTGAATTATGTGGAATTTTATTGCTATTTATGCAATATGGTCTCTAATGATGATATAGAATCCCAGATAAATCTACTTTCCATGATATTCTGATATCTATCATGTGTTTGATATTTATACTGAGTGCCAAGATATCTGTACAGGAAAATATTTTATTCTCTTACTCTATAAAAATAGAACTAGTGATGTGTTTGCACCTTTTAAGAGCCTTCTGGAACTCAAAAGGTTCCCATGAAAACAAGGGGTTGCTTCTGTCACATATATTAAATCTAAGCACTTTCCAGTTATAGCTAAACAGCTTTTTTCTCTTCAGTACAAATTAATGCAAAGGAATCTTGTCGAATTCTGCATCCAAAAATTCCGTTCAAAACCTCAGATACTGACACAAAGAACAAAGCTGTTCATCCCAATCCTGGGTTTAATACTATTTCTGTCCCTACAAATCAGAGAAACACTACAGTTGATTATGCCCCATTTTTGACAAAGATGCAACTTAGGGCCTGGCAGCGGCACCTAGCAGCTAAAGTCCTCACCTTGAACGCCCTGGGATCCCATATGGGCGCCGGTTCTAATCCTGGCAGCTCCACTTCCCATCCAGCTCCCTGCTTGTGGCCTGGGAAAGCAGTTGAGGATGGCTTAAAGCCTTGGGACTCTGCACCCATGTGGGAGACCTGGAAGAAGTTCCTGGATCCTGGCTTCGGATCGGCATAGCATTGGCCGTTGTGCTCACTTGGGGAGTGAATCATCGGATGGAAGATCTTTCTCTCTGTCTCTCCTCCTCTCTGTATATCTGACTTTCCAATAAAAATAAATAAATTTTTTTTTTAAAAAAGGAAGCAACTTAATATAATTGATAGTGATTCTGAAGACTAAACTTAACCAAATCTATTCTTTGGAATCATAATCTTTACAAAGGCCAGATAAAAGGGTTAACCAGGAAGGAAAAAAACCATTATCTTGGTGCTCTCCATGAGTCCCTTTTCCACACGATTTGGCATTCATTGCAACTATGCATAAAAAAAATTTTTTTTCATAAGCACAAACTCTTCTTCAGGAAAATAAGTGGTAAACTAAAAATGTAAATTAAAAATCCATAAATGTAATGACATTTTACTGTTCAATAGAAGCCGTATATAATAAAGAAATAAACATAAACCTGTTCAAACTATTGCCACTTAGCTAATTATTAACTTTTTTACAAATGCAGTGTTACAAGAAAGTTATTTTATTCAAACGAAATGGGAAAAGCTATTGGTTTGGAGAATGCTTTATCTTCAAAACTTTGAAGTTGGTTCTAGAGGAGAATTTAGTCAAAACATTTACTTCTGCCATTTGATTTGTTTCTTATCTGTTGGGAAGCCTGTAATCAAGACTTCTATATAACATTCCAGGGAAATGTTTGTCTGGTATAGATTCTATGTAAGATTAAATAGGATATTGCAGTAAGCCCTTGACTACTATTATTTCTGTTGTGCAGCAGATGTGTTTTGTAGTCCTTGCAACATAAATAGCCATATTTACGTATCTGCCTTACATACTTGGCTTCTGAATAAGTATATAATTAGAGTAGACAGAGACAATCCAAGGGCAACATATACAAACATTTAAAAGCATTTCTTTATGTCAATGGATTTTTGAAGCCCTTAGCAGGAGTCCAGCTGAGGACAGTTATCTTGAAGCTTTTCTATTTTATAGCAGTAAGTGTAAGAATAACAAGTACTGCAACTCTTTTGAAGTTTTGAATTGTTTATATTTAAAGGGGAAAAGTCTGCTTTTATCAATCTTATTTGCGAGTATAACAAATGCAACACAATGTTCATGTGTAAAGCCTCATGGCATTTAGAGAAGAGGAAAGTATGATGTTATAAAACTTAGGAGCTATGAATCTGAGGGGTCGGCGGGTGGAGCCAATGCTTGCAGCACCAACATCCATATGGGTGCTGGTTTGTGCCTAAGCCGCTCCACTTCTGACCCAACTCCCTGCTAATGTGCATGGGAAAGCAGCAGAAGATGGTTCTAGTACTTGCACCCCAGTATTCACATGGGAGACCCAGAAGAAGTTCCTGGCTCTTGACTTTCACACCAGTCCAACTCTCTCCTCCTGTCTGGAATTCTACCTTTCAAATAAATAAATAAATCTTTAAAAAAAGAAAGAAGCTACCAATCTAGGACTGTAGGTCAATCTTGAATTTTTAATAAATCTGAGTAAGAAAAAGTGCTTCATAATTAATAAAATATATAGTACCTACTGTCTTTAAATACTATTTATATCTTAATTGGGAGGAGAAATGAGAAATTAAAAAAAATAGAATAAATACAGAAAAACTGTTATTTACTGTAAACATCAGTTTGTTCTGTATTTTAAAATTAAATAATAGGGCCCTGCCGTGGTAGCTTAGTGGCTAAAATCCTCGCCTTGAACACGCTGGGATCCCATATGGGCGCCGGTTCTATCCCGGTGGCCCCACTTCGCATCCAGCTCCCTGCCTGTGGCCTGGGAAAGCAGTCGAGGACGGCCCAAAGCCTTGGGACCCTGAACCACGTGGGAGACCTGGAAGGAGCTCCTGGCTTCGGATTGGTTCAGCTTCTGCTGTTGTGGTCACTTGGGGAGTGAATCAGCAGATGGAAGATCTTTGTTTTTCCTCCTCTTCATATATCTGACTTTCCAATAAAAAAATAAATCTTTACAAGTAAATAAATGAAATGAAACAATAGAAAATAAATATACTTACCTCTCTATTTCGTAGCTCAGTAAAATACATGGGCTGTAGATTTGTTGGATTCTCATGTTCCATCAAAATATATAAAGTTGTATCAACAGATAACCAAGGAGATGACTTTCCTGTAAATAAAACAACCCAAATGCTTTACAGACAAGCAATCATTATTTACTTTTTCCATCAAAAAAAATTTAGTAGTTTTTTCCCTATTAGAATTTTTTAAAAGAAAACATACCTCATATTAACAGCTTAGAGTATGTGATAATGCATTGATACACCTATGTAAGTGACCTCATGAGAAACATTCTGTGTATACTTATTTCCTAGAAATCACAACTTTTGTTGAAATCATCAAATGCTGAGGCTACAGGGCAACTGAGACCCCTAGAACGTATTCTGGAGCTGGGATGTAGGTGTTGGCTTCTCTGCAGTACTCAGGAGAAACATCAGACACGGTTTACGCACTCTAAATTCCAAATTCCTATCTCTAATAGAATCTTTCCCCTAAATGTTAGATCTAAACAACCAAGTATTTGAGATTCACATGTGAGTACCACAAGAAAGGAAAAATAAAACCACAAAAAATTAAAAATATCATATTCAAACTGATGAAAAAAAGATGAAGAGAAAACTTTGACCACACTCATAGAGGAAAAGCCTAGTTTCTCTGAGTAACAGATGGAGTCCTCATGACAGTGTGCACTCGCACACACACACACACACACACACACACACACACACACACACATCCACCCTTGCCTACTCCATTCTAGACACTCCGGCCTCCATTCTTCTAACTCCAGGACTCTCCACCTTGGAGCCTCTCTATGGGGAATGCTCTGTCACCTGCTTCATTCTTCAGTCAACCCTTACACAACACCTACACCCTTAAAGCTTACTTCTTACCTTCCGTGGAAGACAGCGAAATAGCATGTTATTTGCAATGTGTGAAACTGTAGCTCTTCGATCAAGAGATCAAGTCTATTACCCCATCCTATCAATTTGGACTTGTTTTGTGACATGTTCAGAACAACAGGATTTCACGGAAACCACAGTATGCCAACTCTAAGGTCACTGTTATATCATGAGAGTAAGTTTAGATGAGTTTACTAGAAGATGAGAGATTTTGTGAGGCAGAGTTGAGCTGTCCCAGCTAAGATGGCGTATGTAGGAAAAAATCTAGCCAATCTGGAAAGTCAGCCACGAAGTGACCTGTTGTTGACTACAGTGATATAGGTTAGCCCCATACAGAAAGTCTAGACTGAATGAACTGTAGGACTTCCTGAAGGAACTGCAAGTCTGTTGCTTACACGTGCATCAGCAAAGTGCCTGCTTCCAGTCATTGACTTTTAGGGTAACTACATGATCGGTAACCAGTACTCTTTCATAGGTCACTTTCTTAAGTATATACCAATGATCCCATTTTTAATTTTAGATGCAATCGATATTCCCCCATCTTCCAGAGTTCCCCTTTTGCTGCATTTTCCCTATAGCACTTAGTACTTCCTAACATACTGTGTAATTTATTATTTATTCTGTTTATTATTTATTGTTTCCCACACTGAAATGTAAGCTCGTGAGAGTAAGAATATCTGTTTATTGGTACTCTGATATATCCAAAACTTCTAAATTGATGTTTAGTATAAAAGGCTCTCAATAAATATTTGATAAATAAATGAATATAAAGGGATCTTATAGGAACAGAGAATTAGCAACCACACTGAATTTTCATAACTATCATCATTCTTCCCTCTGAAAAATTACTACTATAACTGTCATTTAAAATTGCCAACTGACAAATATTGTGTATTCCACAAGACAGATAGTGAAAACTTTTAAGGCCTCTATTTTAGGAGGAAAAAAAAGGCATGTGGGAAGAATTTTCTAGTAAAAAATGTTTCTTTGTAAATATTTTTAAAAGATTTATGTTATTTTATTTTTACTTAAAGGCAGAGTTTCAGAGAAAAAGAGAGACAGAGAAACAGGTCTTCCATCCACTGGTTCAATTCCCAAATGGTCATAACAGCTGGAGCTAAGCAGATCTAAAGCCAGCAGCCAGCAGCTTCTTCAGTCTCCCATATGAATGCAGGGAGCCCAAGGATTTGGGCCTCACTGCACTACCTTCCCAGGCTGCAAGCAGGGAGCTAAATCGAAAGTGGAGCAGCAGCCAGGATGAGAACCAGTGCTAATATAGGATGCTGGCATCATAGATAGAGGCTTAGCCTACTATACCACAACGCTGACCCATGTGGGCGGGGAGTGTGTGTGTGTAAAGATTTATTTATCAAAACCAACATTAAGAAATAATAGGGAAGAGCTGGCTTTTGCCTGGGGACCCATATAGATAACTGACTGCTTCCCTTCAGGTCCAGTTTCCTGCTAAGGCACCAGGGAAAGCAGAAGATGGCCCAGATACTTCACTCCCAGAGAGCCATATGAAGACCCACATGGAATTTCCAACTTCCAGTTTGAGCCCGACCCAAACCTAGTCATGGCAGTCACTGGGGAAGTGACACACTGGATGCAGGATTTCTTTCTTTTTCTCTCCCTCTCTTACTGTTACAGATGTGGCTGACTGACTCAAGAAGTCCAAGATGGAGGCCAGCATGGTGACACTGTAGGTAAATAATCTTATTTACCTTATAAAGCCACCTTATCATTAGCATGCCGTGGGGGCACTGTTCAGTGTCTTGGCTGCTCTACTGTGATCCAGCTCACTACTGCTGGCCTGGGAAGAGCAGTAAAAGATGGCTCAAGTATTTGAGCTCCAGCCACCCATGTGGGAAACCCAGATGAAGGTCTTAGCTACTGGTTTTGGCCCTGTCTGCACTGGCCACTGTAGCCACCTAGGGAGTGAACCAGTGGAATGAAGATCTATTTTCTTCTCTATTTGTAACCCTGACCTCCAAAGCAAGCAAATAAATGACAAATCTTAAAAAAAAAAATGTACAAGATTGCGGCTTGCACTGTGGCATAGCAATTAAGCGGCTGCCTATATCACAGCATCTGGTTCAGGTCCCGCCTGCTTCACTTCCGAACCAGTTCCCCATTAGTGTGCCTGGGAAGCAGAAGATAGCCAAGTGCTTGGGCCCCTATACCCACATGGGAGACCCAGAATAAGCTGCTGGCTCCTGGTGGCGGCCTGGCTCAGCCCAGCCATTATAGCCATTTCGGGAGTGAACCAACCAGATGGAAGATCTCTCCTCCATCTTTCCTTCTCTCTATAAATAACTCTGCCTTTCAAATAAATAAACACATTTTTTGAAAAAAGTACAGGATAGCCATCTTAGACAATAGGAAATTATTACTTTTTAATCTAGAAAATAATTTTACCATGAAATCAAAGATTATTAATATGTTCTTAAGTCAGACATAGATCTTAAAAGGTATTTTAAAAAGAGACTTGCAGTTTCAAATCCCAAATTATACCCATATGAAACTTTCCTGAGACATATTAAAGAAATTGATAAATGGAATTACTTAAGATTAGGAAGTAAAAAATCAATTATATACAATGAGAAAAAAAAGGAAATGTTGTAATGTTCTGTTATTGTTTTAAAAACAATATTTTAAACACATACACAAAGTAGTTTGCTTGCTTTGCATGTAACATAGCTAATGCATACACTAACTCTTCAAATTAACTTTTTTGTTAGGCACATCATTTTCTTCATTAACCATAAAGCATTTGCAAAAGTATTTCTACAAGAGGACACATACAATCAATATTTCAAAAATAAGCAGGAAATTTCAACTTGCCTTCAACCTGACTCAGGTTTAATGGCTTAATTGTTAGATAAACCATGGACTTCTCAGCTAGGTGCATCTTGTATTGATGACTAATGATTTTACCATCTTCCTCTAAGAAAAAGCAACCCTTTGACTGTACACATTGCCACTCCTGTAAAGGAAAAAAAGAAGTTTCCAAATGATGTTAAATGTTTCTATTATATGCATAGTATTGAGGGAGAACTCAATTATATATTATATATGTTTTATTATATATGTTTTATATAATTATATAAGTTTATATATATTACATAAGTTTTATATATACATAAAACTTCATCTAGACACAGTGATAGGTCCACAGGAATAGCTGCATATTTCGGAAGTCTGGCTCAGTGGTGAAGGGGCCCCTGGCCCACATCAGAGTGTATGAGTTCAGTTCTCAGCTGGGGGACCTCATTCCAGCTTCCTGCCAAGGCAGACCCTGGAGGAAGAAGCTATGGCTCAAGTGGCTGGGCTTCTGCACCCAGAAGGAAGACCTACATGAGCTCCTGGCTTCTGGTTTTGGCTTGGCTCAATCCTAACTGTTGTAGGCATATAGGGAATGACCCACAGGAGGATGAAGGAAATGCTCTCTCAGGAAAAAAATAAAGCCTTAATGGGTAATAAATGAGCATGCAAGATAAATGTTCAATTATATTTGGCAGTAACATATGAATAGAATAAAAAGGGATAACTTAACCTCATTTCCCAAAAACAGAGCTAGCTCACTGTAGATGCTAAATGTTTAGTGTGTAAATGGCTGGGAAAGGCATTTATATCAACCGAGTGGGCAATGAATGAAGTATAGCATGATAGGTTGACAGTATTTATTTAATGAAAATTTAGGAAGAGACATAACAGAGAGAAGAAATAAGAAAAATAAAATTCATGAAAGTGGAAGTAGTACTGAAGCAAAGCAATAAAACAAATATCCTGAAGTAATAATCTGGGAGAGAGTAACGCTGGGAGCATAAGAATGGCAGTGTTAAGGACCACTAAAACCAGTATGTTGAAAGAGAAAGTAACAGAACCCTGAATTTCATGAGAAGCCATATAACCACCAACAGAACTCTCTCAAGCCTGGGTAACTAAGAAAACTCCATAAAAATTTCATAGCTACAGAAAAATGCTGATATGTAGAAAAGTACATTTTGAGAAAGACCTTTCTACATTGGATTTTCCAATTCTCTCGTACCAGCCAAATCCTTTCTCAGAATCTGAATTAATACATCTAATGAGGAGCTCAAAACTAGCACAAAATAAGTTTGAAAACAGCATCTGACACAGAAAATGAAGAATTTTTCACTGAAATTATGAGAAAATGGATCATCATTACGAATGATTATTATGACTTCCACAAACAGAATATTATTAAGGCTTTGAAGTGGCTTTATGAAAAAAGATTTTGAAAAATGTCTCTAACAATATTAATATTTTCAATACTTTAATAATTGAACATTAGCTCCATAACAATAACACAAATACTTTAATGTACTGCAGAAAAATTCATTAGTGGCATTGACAAGGCAACACAAAATATAATTTATAATGAGATTTATTTCTAGCTCATCTTATAAAACAGGCTAAATTATAATAGCATAGACTTTCACAGAGTTATACTAAAACCATTCATAATTATTTTAATATTTTTATTTTAATGCATTTTAAATAAAAATTTTTAATTAAAAAAGAAAATCGAAAAATCTAAAAATTCTATCATCCTACTTTAATTTTTATGACTATATAAAAATAAGTACTCATATTTCAATAAAAGTTCAATCTAATTTTATATGAAACATACTTTGCCCCTGAAAAAGAATAACCCGGGAGAGGCTCCTGGTTCCTGGCTTTGGATTGGTGCAGCTCTTGGGGAATGAATCAGTGGATGGAAGATCTTCCTCTCTGTCTCTCCTCCTCTTGGAAGAGGAAGATCTTCCATCTGATTATTCACTCTCCAAGTGAGCACAACGGCTGGTGCTGCACCAATCAGAAGCCAGGAGCCAGGAAATTCTTCTGGGTTTCTCACATGGATGCAGGGTCCCAAAGCTTTGGGCCATCCTCAACTGCTTTCCCAGGCCACAAATAGGGAGCTGGATGGGAAGCATGGCTGCTGGGATTAGAACTGGCGCCCATATGGGATCCTGGTGCTTTCAAGGTGAGACCTGAGCCACTCAGCCCAACGAACTGGGCCTGAAAAAAAAGTTTTGTGGTTTTTTTAGTTGTTTGTTTGTTTGTTTAAAGAATAACACTGGAAGACTCACATTTTCTGATTTCAAAACTTACTATAAAACTAGAGTAACTGGGGATGTAGCTGTGGCATACCATGTTAAGCTACCGACTTCAGTGCCACAATCCACTGTCGGCCCTGGTTTGAGTTCTAGCGACAACACTTCCAATCCAGCTCTGTGCTAAAAGCAGAAGATGGCTCCAGTGCTTGGACCCTTGAATCCACAGGGGAGATGTGAAAAATGATCCTGGCTTCTGGCTTTGTACTGGTCCAGCTCTGGCTATTTTAGCCTTTTTTGAGTGAGCCAGTGCATGATAGAGTTTGACTGTCTGTCTGTAATTCTGTCTTTCAAATAAGTAAATAAATCTTTAAGAAAAACCTACTGTAATCAAAACGGTATGGTGCTGCATAAAAAGGGACATAGAAGTCAAAAGACTACATTAGACAGCCCAGAAATAAATCTTGCATATACTTATATATTAAGTGATTTGCATTTTCTTGAAAAGTCTATTTTCTTTTGTTTTGTTTGTAAGCCAGCACTAAAGAGAGATGGAGAGAGGTATTCCCTCCACTGGTCATTCCCCGAACACCCACACACATGACTGGGCCACTAAAGTCACAAAGCAGATACTCTTTTCAGGTCTCCCATGTGGGTATAGGCATCCAAGCACTTAGACCATTTTCTACTGCTTTCTCAGGCACATTAGCAGGGAGCTGGATTTGAATTTGAACAGGACCTGCCCTGTTGAACAATGGCTAAGTCCTCGCCTTCCATGTGCCAGGATCCCATATGGTTGCCAGTTCGTGTCCCTGCCCCTCTACTTCCCATCCAGCTCCCTGCTTATGGCCTGGGAAAACAGTGAAGAATGGCTCAAAGCCTTGGGACCCTGCACCCGCATGGGAGACCCAGAAGGAGCTCCTGACTCCTGGCTTTGGATTGGCCCAGCTCTGATCCGTTGTGGTCACCTGGGGAGTAAGTCATTGGATGGAAGATCTTCCTCTCTGTCTCTCCTCCTCTCTATACATCTGCTTTTCCAATAAAAATAAATAAACCTTTTAAGAAATTCTAGGGCTGACATGCTGGCACACTGGGAAACACTGCTGCCTGGGCTATCAGAATCACTTCTGGGAGCTACTTTGTGTTTGGCTGCTCTACTTCCAATCCAGCTCCTTGTTAACGGCCTAGGAAAGCAGTGACGGTGATCCAAGAAGTGGTTGAGCCTCTGCCACTCCTGGGGGGAGACGAAGATGAAGCTGCTGGCTCCTGGCTTTGGCCTGGCCCAACACTTTGCATTGCAGCCAGGCAGGGAGGCCGCAGGCAAACGGAAGAGCTCTCTGTGGGTGTGCACATCTCTCCCTCTGACTCAAAATAAATACATCTTTTTAAAAAATGGAATTCCATGAATGTTGATGCTACAAATGAAATATAACAGCTTGTAATTCTTACAAAGAACATGAGGTGGTGCTATTTTCTACCAATTCAGGTAAATTCGTACAACCCCTCAAAAACTATTGTGTTTTCTATTGTATCCAAATCTGTTATTTTCACTGATAACGCATTAGAAAATGCTGACAAGAAAAAAACTAAAAATAGTAAAGCATTACATTCTAGCTATGAGAAAAAATATTGGTAAATATATTAGTAAAGTTACATTTTTACTGGAACACTGCAGTGAACATTTGATATACACATTTTATATTGAAATTTAGGTGAGGAATAATCACTAAATATTAGATTTGCTACAGAGTTAGTTCCAGGAGAAATATGATCATCATTATTATTTTTATAAAAAATATCATATACTTCTTAGAAAAGCATATTGTTTTTAACAGGCTAAGACAAAAGGATGAAGAGAAAGTGATTAGCATTTTGTTATTCAATACTATTTAAAACAAAGTGTTAAACTGATCATTTGTAATGGGAAAAGTTAATACTGACTCGTACCTAGTAATAGGCTGAATTGATCAGTATCTTGAATGTGCAAAAACTGTTGAAATAAAATTATTTAGAGCATTCACAAACATTAAAAAGCAGTGAAAGACTGAGTTAATGTTCTTATATGTCTAGTGCTATATGAAGAAGTATATATTACACATATATGAATTACAACACTAACATGTATGCACAGTATATATTTTTATAATATATGTATGTATAAGTGTATATAATTAAAACATTAAATACCATGTATTTGTTGTATATGCATATATATGCAGCATATATATACATATTATCTAGTATACACATACAAAACCATATGTAATAATATTCTACTTAGTAGTCTAAATTCAGAAAGTATTGTTATTTTTGTAGTTTGTAAGTCATGGGTTGGAGTTTCCCTAAGGCTAGTCATGACTGCCCTTAGCAATGAGGCTGAAGTTATTCTTTCTTAAATAAAAATTCCCAACATTCCTTGTATATTATGGAATATAAGCATAAAAACAGTATTTTGGATATAAAAAGATAGTAACAAAATAGCAAAGTGTGATCGATAGAAAGTAACATGTATGGTCTGTGGGTCTCCTGGCCCGAGTCCTGGGGCCCATCTACTATGTGGATGTAGGATTTATGAGCCCCAGGGGTGGGGGATCCGGCAATATTTGGGACAACTAGCCCAGGTACAAGGATTCAACTGCAAGAACATGCCCTACTTAGTGAAAAAGGTAGAGCAATGAACACAGGCCCTATTGTAAAACAAGAATATGGCAGCTCATTGGTGCTGTAGCAGAAGAACAGAACTAACTGGACAACTACCCCAAACAAATGATGACAGCAAAAAATCTCAGTGAATGGAGCCAATGGACACTGGGAGGGTGACATCATCCTTGGACCAGTGAAACAGGCAGCATTTCAGAACTATCCAAGCCACTTGGACAGAATTCTTGGAATATGTGCACACTGAAACTCTAGGTTGATATGAGGTGGCAGTTCCTCTTCCCTGGGTGCTGGGATGTGCGGAAAGTTGTGAGTGGTTTCTCCCCTTGTTTTTCCCCTTCCCCCTCAGGAACAAATAGCAAATTTGGAAACAATGAATTCACCCAATTTTCCCTAAACCTCAATCCTTGCTACCCTGATCAACCATGCAATCATTATTTAAAAAATAAAATTAAAAAAAGTTTATTTTTCTTTCTATAATTCAACTCCTTTACCAATTGTGTGGCTTTATGCTTTACAATCTGGCTTTTGCTTACCCCACCCCAATTATTTTCTAATTTTTTAAATTAAATTTTTCTTGATGATTTACATACGAGGCAGGCACAAAGAGAAGGAGAGGGCCGAGAACACCCATGCACTGGTTCACTCCTGCTTTTCTCAGAATGCCTTGGATTGTGCTGAGGTCAGCAACAGGATCTGGGAATTCAGTCCAAGTGGGAGAAAGCCAATTACTACACCATCACAGATATTTCCCAGGGTCTGCTTTGGCAAGGAGGAGGAGCCAGTAACGGAGCAGAAATCTAAGCCAGGCACACCTCAATGAGGAATGTAAACACCTTACTGCTGGGATGATTGCCTACCATCAATTTTCCAATTTCTGATAAGCTCCTCCTTCTCTGCCCAATTCCATACTTCTCTATGGCACACAAAATCGAGGCACTCACACTTGTTTAAAATAGATAGGAAGCATTTGTGGAAAATTAATCGTCCTTTAAGTTATTTCTTTTGCATATTCATAACCAAGCTTCTTAGAGTAATTATGAATTCCTACAAATAAATAATTAAAAATTTTAAAATTTATTTTCATTTTACTTGGCAAACAGAGACACAGGGAGAAAAAGACTGAGGAAGAGAAGAAGAGAGCTTTACATTCTCTGGTTTACTCCTCAAATGGTCAAAACAGTCAGGATTTGGGTTCAGGCCAATGTTAAGATCCCAGAATCCAGTCTGGGTCTTCCATGAGGGTGTTAGGGACAAACTACTTGGGTTATTAACTGCTGCCTCCTAATCTGTGCATTGACAGGAAACTGGATTGAAAGCAGAGCAGCTGGGGCATAAATTAGGCACTTTGATATGCCACGCAGGCATTCCAAGAGACAACTCAAATGTCACGTCACATGCACGCCCCAAAGACTCATAACATTTTAAAAAGTACCTTCAAAGGAAAAGGCAACTGAAGAGCTGAATTCTACTGAATAACAAAAAAGCTTGAGTTTTAAAAAATAATTTCAATTCATCTAATAGCAAAAGTAAACAATGGGCAATATTAAGATCAGAAACAAGATATTAAGAAAAGTAAGAAAATTAGGGGTAGCATTTGCAAAAGACAATACTAAATTTTCTAAGTAAATGTTTAAATAATTTCCAGTCATCATCAGCACCATTCCCTGTTCTTGATGTTTTCGATACAAAACGTAATCTTTTGTTAGACCATCACCATGACCCACAGACTATAACGTTGGCATTGTCTACTAGATCTGCCTCTTCCTAAGACATTCAGGTACCACCCTAACTTAAGCTAACATCACTTTATATACAGATGGCTGTATCAGCTTCCCATACAATGTAATTCGGGGTCTCCTTACATAATAGAACAGGGAAGTGATTTTTTTTTTCTTAAACTCTACTTTCATTGAATCACTCCTATATAAAACTCTACAGTAATCTCTTAATTCTGTAATAACATTAACCATAATTTTATTAAAATGATACTATGCCCTTGGCACTGCTAAAGGCGCCATATTTTTTGGAGTTTAAATCTTTCCAAAATAAATATCACTGTTCCCAATTTATGGATAAGGAAAGTGAAACAGAAGGGGTGTCCACTAAGCTAACTAACCAAGTTCATACAGTTATTAAGTGACAAAGGTAAGACTGAAGCTCAGATCTGTCTCTATTCCAAATTCTTAACACACACAGCACCGCTTGACACAGAGTAAATAGTCAACAAAAATAACAAGTAAATGAAATACAATGCTATATTACCTGGCATACATAACATTAGTAGCCAAATTAATGTAAAATCTTGTATCTTACCCCAAACAAAATGCTGGCATTTCTTACACACTTACTAAATATCTGTTGAACTGAAGAAATTATGCCAGTATAATTAAGCACACAGAGAAAAGAATCTTATTATGATTTGCTATAACCCACATTGAATTTTACTTATTCCTCTCTTTATAGCACTAAAATTGCTTATTTACACTTTTGCTGTTATTATTGAACTAATTTCATTAGCATTCAATATAGTTGAAAATATAAAAAGGTTCTGTTGGTAGAAGAGAATATTGTTGTAACACTAAATATTGCGTGTGAACATGGTGGCCATGTATACCAAATTGCTTAGGGTGTACAAATTCCTAAACAGTCTGAACAAAATTCCTTGGAGATAATGTTTTAAAATTTTAATATAGAACAAATGTCACTGTCTAGCAATTTAAAGATATAAGGGACTTCAGAGTTCAATAACAAACACAGAGTTGTTATTTGAAACAAAAATGCAGCTCTTGAGAACAATCAGTTCCGTTTTCTAACAGCAGTTAGAGTATGTGGTCATAACCATTTTTCCCCCTTTTACAGAGGTCTCCAGGTGCACATTTTTAATGTATCCTAGCAGTTTCCAGTTAATGTTTTATATTTCTGTAGCTATTATTTTCTGTTGAAAGAAAACTAGTAAAGGTTGAGTCTAGAAAGGGAAAACAAAGGAAGAAGATCAATATTAACACTCTACAAATATTGACTTAGCAAAGTGACTTTCTTGTCTTTCTCTCATAGGAACTGATACTGAATAAATGACTTCTTCACAAGAAACACCCATGCAAAGTATCTGTTAAACATAAGAAGAATTTGCTTGCCAAGGCATCCAGTTAAATAATCTACTCATGTTAAAAATACAGGCATCATCATTTTCAAATGAAAGACTTTACAGTAACATTCTTACTATTTTTTACTTTAAAAATGTTATGGCTGGCCATGGGTGGAAACGTTACATTCCACAGAAAAATCTCAAAGAACTACTTCACAAATTTAACCGATTCTGAGAAATACTGAATAAATTACTCATGAACAATGTAAAAAAATTTTTTTTAGAAAAAAATCATATCTAGTAATTTTAAATACCATACCTTTATTAAATTTGGCTCAGTTAACTTTGGGTTTTGGTGACTATTAGCACTCATGGTAACTGTGAGAGAAACAGACGTTTTGAACTTTCTGGTGCTTGACAGCAAAGGATTCCTAGGACCACCTGTAACAAATGGTCATTAGTGGGTCTTACGTCATGAGAAGTTTTCAGTAAGAGTTTGTTTTCAAAGTGTAGAATAAAAGCCGTATTGACTTTGTTCTGTTTTTCCTGTTGAAATGAAGTTGGAAGTTTTTCTTACTTATCAGGCTTTAGTGAACCTTAATTTATGGCCCACTGATAAGATTCCTTGTTTCAATGTCATCTTTCAGTCTGATGTGTTAGTTTTATAAAATATAATGATCATAGCCAAATCAAGTTCCATAATAAAATTTTATATCAATAAATTCTTATTGTTAGGAGTGTCTGGGTATGAAACAAAAGTTGGATTTCTTTGCGTTTTACCTCTGGTAAGTTGTGATAAAAGAAAAAGTTTATCTAACTATGACCCTTCACTCCTAATTAAGAAATTGTTAATGATAAGGGAAATACCTTTGTTTGAGAATGACTCTGGATCTGTTTTTCTTAAGATTCTAGGTGAAGGCTTTGGTAGTGGTGATGCGTCTCTTTCAGGAGATCCTTCGATATGGCTTCCAAACTGTTGACGCCTCAGTTTACTATTAACCTCCAGTTTCTCCAGCGTAGTCTTGAGACATTGCTCATTGGTTGTCATATATAATTTACAAAACTATAGGAAATAAAAAAGCAGTCCAGTGGGCAAAACATTCAATCATACATTTGGGAGAAAGCAAATGCACATTAGTAGGCAAGGGGTAGACGGATAGATGGAATATATTTATTTCCTAGTGAACCTGGTTACTCATTTTATTTTCTTGAATCAGACTGACCAGCCTCAAGTGACCTAGCGAAATGCAGCCATGATTCAATGAGGAGGTCATACTCTGAGTGAAATAAAATGTTTCACAAGGAGAGGTGATTTATTATTATTTTTTTACAAGGCATGTGTAGACTTGCATTTTTTGTAATTTTTATGACTCTTCCATGCCAGACAAGGTTCATTTCTGAGTAGAGCCTGTGTGTGTGTGCATGCATACGCACATATTTTAACTTCATTATATTATTTTTGATGTAGTAATTGGTTACAATTGCTAGACTAGTGAGAATAAATTCTAAGTACCATGTACGCATAATATACAAGTAGTCACCACCAATATTAAAAAGATGCACTCATATAAAAACATCTTGATGTTTATTAGCTGATTTAATGATTTTATGATGTATGAACATGAGTACTGTAAATACATTCTATTCACATTTGTGAACTATACCTTAATAATGATAGAGACAATCATTTTTAAAAATATTTCTCCTTCACAGTATGCAAGTTTGTATGAATATGAGCTTATGTACCTTAATGTAGTCAAACTTTCCATCAGCATTTACATCTGCCAAATTAATTACGGCATTTACTTCTTCTCGGGTCATCTTTTCCCCTCTCTGAAAAAAAAAAAGCACCAATGTTTATCGTAAAGCAATATTATTAATCACTTTTTGAATTCATGGGGGTAGTATAAGGAATTAAAATTTTCCATAAGTCTGATCATATGGTTTCATTAGAAATTAGAGCATTATTCCAAGCAAGAATTAGACTGTTGGGGCTGGCATTTTGGCATACCAGGATAAGATCCTTCTTAGGAAGCCACTTGGAGCCCTGGTTCCTCTGCTTCTGAGCTGGATTTACGCTAAAATGCTTGGGAAGCAAAGTGGCCCAAGTGATTGGATTCCTGTCACCCACATGGGAAACCCAGGTGGAATCCCAAGGCTTCACCTGGCCCCATCCTTGTGTTTGCAGACACTAAAGAACTGAAAACAGATGGAAAATCTCTCTCTCTTTCTCTGTCACTCTGCATTTCAAGGAAATAATATCTAGCTGTTTTCTTTTAAATAGCCTTTTATGTAAAATTTGTTTTATTAAATTTTGTGTGGATGCTCCTAACTTGTTTTCTAAATTTTAACATTTTTATAGCAACAGTCAGAAGTAACTGCTACTGAATTTAAAGATATTTCCTAATACTACAACAAAAAACAGATCGCATTGCAAATTTCATCTACCCTTGTTTTCCTGTTAGTATATATGGACCCATCGCTGATTTTCAAAGAGTTCTAGACATAAAAGAATTGCACGGGAGCACAAGAGGATTACAACTCAGGCTCAATTTTATACTTTATTTTTTATTTATAAAGCACCTTTCATACAAAAAGGTCCCTAACTACTTTATAAATAACATGCATATAATTCATTTCAGCTGTCAATGAAATAGCTATTTTTAGCATGGACTTTGGAAGTCAAAACTAGATTTTAAGTTGTTTTGCATTATTATTTAACAGTTTCTAAGATCTTACCTTTGTTAGAAATTTATAAAGGTCATTGTGTAAAATATAGCCATCATCATTTATATCTAATTGCCTAAATGATTTTAACAGTTCTGCTTTTGAAGTGGGTTTTTCCTTCCTTAAAATCATGCAAAAATCATCAAAATTCAGTTTGGCTGTTTGAGGCGTCCAATATTTATTAATGGTCTTTTGCGATGGATTTCTTCCTGCATGTTGAAGAGCTGCCCAAGAAAACACGTACTGTTATTGAAACATTTGGAATTGGTATTTAAATATATTTCTTCTAATTATTCTATATAATACACAAACACACAAACACAAATACCAACACTATTGCCTTTGTTGTTGAGAATTGTCAATAAGTGCTTGACTTTCAGAAATAAAAATATACACATGACCAGCTACAGATTCTTAATTTATTAATGCCAGAATTTAGTAGATTTTCCCATTGTTGACAGTTTGATTTTCAATCTACATAGTTCCAATAACTGGTAACAGATGATAAACTTTTAGAGTTTTAGAGAAAAAAAAATGGAAGATGACCATCTACTTAATTATATTGAGACCATATGAGTAACTACAAAAGGAAAACAATTTTTATGAAATGAGGAAATAATTTGTTTCAAAATATTAAGAAGGCATATCTAAAATTTTATCATTACCAACAGCAGACTTGCAATATTATACTATAAATATCAAATATATGCACAAAAAGAAAACAATGTCTCTGCTGAAAATCAAGAATGTTAACTCTAGAGAAGATCATCACAGAAAGACAAGGATGCATACAGCTTTTCATTGTTAACCATTTCTTCCTATCTATCAAAGTTAAATGATAATGAGCCAAGAATGATTACATTCCATATACACTACAACAGAGTGGTTTTAAACAAGTGTAGTATGAACAGATGAACACAAATACCATGGTAATCTGAGATAAATCTTTGCATACTAAGATAAGCTATCTAAAATGAACCAATAATAAGTTTTACTAAGCACCACAGGAGGAATTAATAGAATCCTAAATAGTGTAACTGTCCAAAAGGATGCTGTAAAATTACATTATATAGAACGTTATGTTGGATAATTACAACTACTGTAGATGGGAATTAACAAGAGCTGTGCATCACAAATTAGCAGTAAATATGCAGATGCACATGAACGACATGACAGCCAGCTCCTACAAGTTAACAGAGGACTTCAAGTATCTCATTAAAAGATGGAAAGCAGGACAGTTTGAACAACACTCCTGGTTAGGCTTTGCAGCAAGGTCCTAGATCTGTGGGCACACTGCTATGGTCTTAGGCAGTTAATTCAGGATCATGAGTTTGGAAGGCACCCTCCCCTCACCCCTGCCAAACACACACACACACACACACACACACACACACACACACACACATCCATGCAATTCTTTCTGCCAACCTGTGAGTGAAATGTGCCCACCTATCATCACCTAGAACCTGAGAGGGCGGTATTGCAATGTTGCAAAACCGTTTCCCTCTCAAGTCCCCATAAAGACCATGACAGGGAGGGGCTTGGTCTCTTGGTCATGTGCTTCCATCTCTGTCATGTTTTGATTAGACCTCCCCAGTACCCACTTGCTCTCTGGCTTCCCATGGACAGATGCAGAGGGTAGGTAACCCTTGGACACGGCCTACATATGCCTGCATTCTTGTTGCCAGCCATATCTGTATGTACTGGCTACATGCCGTACCCAAAATGGCGCCGGCCAGAGAAGCCACATCTTGGTGTTTGGTGCAGAGTCACGTAGCCTTCGCAGTACTGCGCAGGCGCCTAGCGCATGCGCAGTGAGCTGCGGCGCGGCAGGCACGTAAACACTGGGACTGACGAATCCAGTCGCCCAGAACCCTGCGTAATCATGACGCCGACCTATCATCGGCGGAGGCGGGGCCAGACAGCACATAAGAGCAGACAGACTGCCGGGATCTGGGCCTCTTTCCGCTTCATGTTGGTGTGCACAATAAATTTTACCGCAGGAGGCTTCACTCGCGTCTGCGTCTTATTGCTGGGCGGTAAGACACGTGGGCGCGACACATTCTGCACTCTCTGTTCACTGATTTGGCAAGTCGGTGAAGATGCAAATGACAAAATATTATTTCAATTTTGTGTACATTCAAGAGTTCCAGGAGTGGTAAGGCCTAGCAGTACTGGAATGTGCACAGAGAAGCCAGGAAAAGGTTAATGAATGTCTGCTGCTTTGTAAAGGCATCCAGGTTGTTCACTGCATGTCTCTCAGGATAATTTATATTTCTGGGGAAGCTGGAACATAGGTCTTCACAGTAATGATCATTTGTTCCTCTCAGGGTTTCAGACTGTATCGCCATGGTGACTAATTTCTAGTGGGCACTGCCATCACCAAGCACAGTTAATAAAGACTCCTTAATACATCCTAGACTTATCTGGTATGATCTTTTTCACACCCCACAACAATACTGAGGTAGGCATGACCAGCCAATAGACCTCAGAAATGATTTCTCACTTTTGGCATAACAAAGCTAACAATTTTTCAGAATACAGACCACTCAAGTAACACCCCTGGAACATTCTTTTCCTCATCAGTCTCCAAGTCAACATCAAACACCATCTCTGTCCCAGAGTGCTCATGTAGTTTGACAGCAAGGAGCGATGCACTATCCCTGCCCACCCACTCAGACACAGCAGAAAAGACTGAAACTTTTGTCTCACGCACTATCCCCCCGTCCTGATCCTCTCCACACTAATCAGAGGTCTGTAACCCCCTCAACCATGTATTTAATATTTAAATTAATTTGTATAAAAGGGAAAAAAAAGAAATATCACCAAAGAAATAGTAATCAGATCAGGGTAACAAATACAGATATTTGTGAGTCAGTTATATTGGACAGTACTGTGCACAAGCATAAATAAATTGATTTTTTTTTTCTGATATAAATTCTTAACTCCAAAGGAATTTTACATCCATGAGGAAGTCTACATCTGAAGTGTAAAATTGCTATTTGTGGTTATGACTTATGGTTATATAACATATTAGCAAATCTAGCAATAAAGAAAAATTTTCCAATCCAGACGCTGCCAGTGAATTGAGTAGGTTAAACTTTGGCACAGAAACGGAAACAAGCTAATCGGGAGGTAACTCGCCAAGTTGACAGAAGTTTCAGCTTAATAATGGCCATCTTCCATTCAGCTATAGAGCCTCTGTGGACATTCAGAGCACTGGAGATGGCATGTTTTTTAATTCCCATAGGTTTATTTTAGATACCAAAAGTCTGAAATACCAGACTACCCTAGAAACCAAAGATATGCAAATAGTCTAGTAAGGATTCTAAATGAGTCTTTAATTAACACATTAACGCAACCAGAGAAATGTCATCTGTTTCATAACTCCATGCACAGCCATCTCCCACTCTGTAAAAGCAGAGAATACAAGTAAAATTTAGATGACGCTGTGATTTGAAGGTTAAGAATCCATGTGAAAGAAAATGATATTTCTGGTCCCACTTGGGGAAAACAAGTGTGTAATTCTTTCCTATGAGTAGAACTTCAAAATGCATTTGTTGTTGGCTTCAGTAACAAAGACAATATTGTTTTAAAAAATGTTTTAAATTATAAAAGGGCAACTTTCTCAGGAAAAAAAAATTTCCTTATATCACAGCTCATGCTCAATAAAAAGATATTCTTATATTTAAGAAGTTGCTATAATTTAGTAACTACTAACTTCAATCTCAATATTTAGAATTAGTTGGATTCTATTAAGTTTTATCATAGTTAAAACATGTGTACCAGTACTTATATAAAAACTGACATTCTGATCATCTGCCAGGATTTACTTAAAAGTTCTAAATGAGTCTATATCTGTACTATTTATAAATTGACAAAAAGTACCCTCTTCAGCAGTATATATAATAAATTGAGAAACAGAAAAAGGAGCGTTAGAGTTCTGGCACCGCTTCACTTAGCCTTAACATGGAAATGTCAGAGCACATGTGAAATGCATACCTGGCAGAAACAGAGGAAAGACAAAGTAATTAAGAAAGGGACATCCCTGGTTCACATTACTCCTTTTAAACCAGATTATCTGGGAAAAAAAATTACAACGTTGCACAGTTATACTGCACCATAACCTCGAAAGTATATGTAACACTTTAGAGACACAGAAGCCATTGCTACACTTTTAATTTCCTGACATCACTTTAGTAATATATACCCACTGACTCACAAACTAAATGCATTGCAACAGTATGCATGGTAACTTTTTAAAAACAAGATTATGTATCTGAAAGGCAGGTTGATAGAGACAGAATGAAATCTTCCATCTGTGTGTTCACTGCCCCAAACAGTCCCAACAAGCAGAGCTGAGCTGGTCTGAAGCCAAGAGCCTGAAACTCATTTCAGGCTGCCATGTGTCTGAATGGGACCTGAGCACTTGGGCCATCTTCCCTTGCTTTTCCAGGAACCTTAGCACAGAGTCAGACTGGAAGCTGAGCAATCGGAACTCCAACCACGGCCCTTTGGGATGCCGGCACTGCACAGAGCAAACTAAACTGCACAGTACCAGACTGCATGGTAAACTTTTAAGCTTAACAGATTCATTAGGTCAGCCTATTTCAAAAGAATAAAGAGAAAAATCTCATTTTGCAAATAATGACAGTGGGTGGAAGATCTCTACGCCTTTCAAATGAATACATTTTTAAAAATCATAATTGGGCTACCATCCATATTAACATGTATTGAAATACTGATTGTATTAATATATTTTGAGATATTGAAATAATGAGTTATTACCACTTAAAATTCAAAATTTACTATTTTACTATCTTTAAAATAATATAATCAAGGTAAAAGTAAACGTGACTTGAAAAATGTTTTATTCATGTGTGTTCTCATGATTCTACAAGTATCTCTTATTTATGCATTAAATAATTGCGAATGTTTTCAATTCTCATATTCCCAATATAGATTTCCTCAAGGCATTGCTGCAGAAAGCTATTGGAATTTAGAGTTTAAGAAGCTATTTCTAGCTGGGAAAATGGCTCAGCTTCTCCCAGTGGCAGGGGATTACCCTTGATGAAACCGACAGGAGTGCTCAGTTACCTATCACTGTTGTTTACTCAATACTTCCTGACACTTGACACCTCCTGAAGCACCAAATTCAGTGACTGGGGGAGATTTGTTACCAGAAGAGTTTAAAACTGGTGATGGAGAGAAGCAGTAAGTGATTCCCCCAACCAAAACAAAAACATCTGAAACAAATAATAACAAAAATATTTTTTAAAAATCTCAAGACTCCTAACATTCACTTAAAAGTTCACTTATCTCCAAATACTTTTACAATTATTCAACCCACTTTTTAATATGTCCTTTACATTTTTTTCAGAGTAAAATCCAGACTACTCACTCAGAAGCCATTAGCACTTAAATCCCACTATTGTGAATCTCAAACCACCAAATTGAGAATTTAGAAAAATTTTAAGCAGTAACTGATGAAAGCTTTACATATATTGCCCAGCCTATACCCATTAGAGATTTTGAAGTTCCTAAAATATGCAAGTATACAAAATGGCATAACAGCTTACTGTAGTTTCATCATACAACTTTAAGAAGTTGGGATAATTCAGTAAAATACAATGGTAATTACAGTTTTTCTGAATTACTTTCAACCAATAAGACAAAGGATTTAAATTTTAAAAGAGTTTACCTAAGTATAGTTGCTCTTTAGAAACAATGTTTTCTAAGCTGCTTTTGAAGACAGTGAGGTAGGCAGCTCGGCAATTCATATAAAATAACTTCTCTTCAGTTAATGTATGTTTCTTTGTTCGAGGACTCTCTGAAGGCATCGGTTTCTGACTGGCAGAAGCAGCATCACTTCCAGGACCACTGGCCATCCTATTAGAAAACAAACAAATTTGTTTTAGTATATGTGCTAAAGCGAGCACAAAAAAAAAGAAAGAGAAAATTTGTTTTAATCTAATGTTAATTAATCACCTAAAATGCAGATATCAACATGGCTTTCCAATGTTGGGAGAACAAGATATTTAAAATATTTTACACGTGGGAGAACAAGAATTATAACATGTATATATGAAAAAATACAGACATGAACGGTTTTTCCCCGGGTCTTGCTAGTTTGCCTTGAACCGAGGCAAATATTATACCGTTGGGAGAAAAGCAGCAAATAGCTGGTTGGCATTTTGGGCCTGGTTAACGCCAAATTTGTGTTAATAGACCAGTGTGTCAGCATAGTTGCCTATTCTTTTTTTTTTAAATATGTGGGGAAGGCAGGGAACACCAGGCCAGCACACACCAGCCTGGCCCCTGGAGTGGCAGAGGGCTGCAGATTGCCTGGGAAAGGTCTGGGAACATGTTGGCGTGGAGAATGCTGGCGGCATGTTTGACAGAGGAGCAATGACTTCTGTGCTCTTCTGCAGACTGGACCACTGCATCTGCAAGGAGGTGAGAAGCTGAGAGAGGGTGGTTTAGAGGGGAGAAACTGGAGGGCATGTCTGGGTCAGGCCAAGGCACTCACCCACCTGGGAAGCCTGGGCTGAACTAAATAGCACCATTTGCCGCCTACTGGTGTTCACAAAAGCTGGGACTGCAGAGCGTGCCTGGTTGGGGTAGGCCACAGTGCCTGCCTGCTAGTGTCAGAACGGGAGATAGGCCATGTCAGCCTGGGCCACAGCACCCACCAGAATGTGAGAGAACTGGATCTGGGCGCATACTTTGTGGGCTCAACTCTGTGTAACTGTAGCAACCTCTGGTCTATGCAGAGACCTGGGGGTGGTAACTGGCTGAGCCAGGCTGGACATTGCAGAACTCACTTAACACTTACTAGCATTTGTGTGAGCCAGGTCTGCAGAAAGCCAGGCTGCAGCACCCACTGACAGGCATAACAGGCAGGACAGGATACAGGCTGCATCCAGCTGGGTTTAGGCTGCAATATCTGCCAGCGAGAGCTGAGACTGCGGGTATACCATGTTAGGTCAAAGCACTCACCAGCATACGCAAAATCCAAGTGAGAACAGGCCTGGTAGGGGAACTCTGGGGATTCCCCTGCAGCTGTGGCTTCCACTGATAGGCATGAGTCAGGGCTCAGGGCAGGGCAGGCCAGGCTGGGATCTAACACTTGTTGGCATACTACTGATTGGGTCTAGGGGTGGGTAAGGCTGGGCCAGTCCACGGCACATAGTAACACAAGTGAAAGCCACATGGGGTGCAGGCTGAACTAGGTTGGATCTCAACACCCACCAGCTCATTAGGACATGAGGACTGGTTCTGAGAGTGGGCCAGGTTGGGCTAAGCTTCTGCACCTGCTAGTCAGAGCTGAGCCTGGGGGTGGGCCAGTCTGGGCAGGAATGTAGTACCCACTGGTGTGAGAGAGAGCAGAACTGTGTGCCAGGATTGGCTGACAAGTCATGCCAGGTTTTTCTACAGTTCCACTGGGAGGCACAAGATCCAGAACTGGGAGCAGATCTAGCAAGCGTACTGTGGCCTTCCTCTGCTGGGTTTCAGCTCCTGCTGGTGAGCATAAGAATCAGCCTGGGAGTGGGCAAAGCTATTCAGGGTGGAAGCACCTGCCACCATACATGTGGGTTGGACCTGGGTGTGGATTGGGCTGAACTAAGCTGCAGCACCTATGGATGGGCATGAGACCCAGATGGGATGTGGGATGGATCAAACTAGGCCTTAGCACATACTGGTACAAAAACCGGGGCTAGGAGGGACCCTGGTGGGAGTTACTGGGAGGTCATCCCATCTATGCTGCAACATCTGCTGGTGTGCATGAAGACCAGGCCAGTGGGGGCTGGCTGTACTGGGACACAGCACCCATCAGTTCCTGTGAGAGATGGGGCTAAGGGCAGATCACCAGGCAGCTGCATCTCCTGGTATGTGCTTTGGCTGTTGCAGGTGACAGACCAAACCCGACCCTGCAAGGACTGGCGCACGTGAGCATAAAGTCTGAGGTCACCCTTGGTGAAATTTCTTGGGGCAATTTCCACCACAACTGATGGATTCAAACCCTAGGCAGAGAGAAAATCACAACGTATGTGGGATGACCTTGAAGTGCATGCATCAGGACTGGGCCTCCTCAGTTGCTGATACCTGTGCAGTAGACAGCATGACCAGATGCACACGGATCACATGACAACCAGCTCACCTAGGTCAACAGGGGATGTCAAGTGCCTGGTCAGAGGATGGAAAACAAAATAGGTTGGACCACTCCTCTGACCAAGCTTTGCATGTGGATTCCTGGGCATGTGGATGCACCAAGGTGGATTTGGTCAGCCAACAGATCTGGGTAAGATTTTCTTAACCCTGGTGCAAAGAAGCCGACAATGTCTCAGAACCATCCAAACCACTCAAGCAACCCTCAGAACAGCTTCCAACATTATTGTATCCTGCTTTCACTTTAAAATACACTCCAATCTGACAAACTGAATATTTCAAGTTCAATCGTAAGATAACACAGGGAGGGTTGGTCCCCTTCAGGACCCACTGGGTCTCTACCAAGGAGACCTAAATCACACCTTCTTGCAACATATAGCTCTTATACACCTGGGAAAGAAGATAATAATTGCTTGGCATGGATGAAATACCCTGTGTATAACACACGGACTAGATTGCCTGCCTGAAGCGTTCCTATTACAGCAGATTCGGAAGGATCCCACAGGGATGTGTCACAGTCTGGTTGTCTCAAATTGGTATCACTCTAATGAAACACCCAAGTTTTAAACACCCAGGAGCACACATGTCTCCTCACGAATGTGAAAGGAAAATGCGCCGAGGAAGGCAGCATGAATGTGCACGTCGCAGCTAACAATGTCCAAAGACCGGCATTCTTCATTCTTGACAAGGTGAAACTCCTGGAACGTGGAAAGCCCACGGCTTCCAGGTATCCATCCTCTCCAGTCCTGAGACGAAGGACTAAACTGAAGTAGAAAGATCCAGTTGCACCCCTCTAGCTTGGAAGCGTCCTTTATTGGGAACTCCAGCCCGAGACCGGGATAGGGGCGCAGAGAGCGCGTGGCAGCCGACTGGGGCTGCACCAACAGCCAGGCACACACAGCAGGAGCAGCGCCCTGGAGGCAAGGGGCCCTGGGCTGCCGCCGGGCAGTCGCCAACCCCGCTCCCGCAACCTCGCTCTACTCCTCTGTTCCCCGGGGACTGTGGAACATCCAAGTGTTAGTAAGACAAAGGAAGCAAGTGGGAGGAGAAGCAGCCGCACAGCGCGGGGCAGGCGAGGGAAGACACGGAGACAGCGTTTGGCTACCTAATTCCAGCTCACAGCCAATTCCTTCGAGCGATTCGCCGACCCCGTCTCAAGGCCGCCGGACACGCAGCGGCCCGACTCCAGTTACCATGGCAACCGCGCCTCTCTACAACCGGAAATGAGACGCAGAGCACCTCTTGAAAATGGTCCGGCTAGAAATGTTAGAGATTTCTTGTTTATTTACTTATTTTTATCCTGAGAGAACGGAGATGGCTGTATCTGACCCTCTGTTGGGGAGTTCCAAGGGCCAGAGTAGTCGCAGAAGGTTCTCTGTTTCTCTCTGGAGGGACTGCCTGCAGTCATGGACCCAACCTCTCCACACGGCCGGCGTTCTCGCAGGGAGGGCGTTTCCGGGGGGACCGCGTTAGGTGTGACACGCCTCCTGCCCGCCTGCCCGCCTGCCCGCGCTTTTCGCCTTTGCTTGGGGACGTTCTCGGCTGGTTCCGGTCAGCGGCGTGCTGCGTCCTTGGCTCCCGCAATGCCGTAGGTATCGCCCTCGGTTGTACGTTACTGGGTCCCTCTCTGTGCCAGAAGAGCAGAGCTTACGTAGCCCTGGTTGTTCTCTGAGTGAAAATGACCCTCTCCTGTCGACAGTTCCCCGTGAAGCCGCTGGACTCTGTCCATTTCAGGACGGTTTCTGACAGCCGGAGGCTCAGGACTGATTAGGCGGGGTCCAGCTCCTAGTGAGCCGCAGAGTGAAGTGAGGATTGCAGCAGGCTCTTGTCCGTGCACGCACACGGACTGGGCGCTGAAGGCGGGAATTCCAGATGCCACCGGTACTCATCCACTGGGGCTTCCGTTTTCTTCCAGATAAAAATAGGTTTGCGCCGAGTGATTTCTGAATTCCCACCCAACACTAACGGTCTGGCTGTTGGGAGTGAGCTGAGTGGGCATAGGCACTGTGTGAAGTCGTTTAGGTTTGTTCTTCCAACGCCGGCTGCATCTTGAGAAGACAGAAAGCCACTGAATGTTTTCGGGGCGAAGGGAGTTTTGTTTTTTTGTTTTTTGCTTTTCTTTTAACATGTGAAATGCTTTTCTGACTGCTTCTTGTTCCCAGGTTTGAATCTTGGTTCTGCTTCTCAGCTTTGTGATCCTTAGATAGTTACTCATTGTACTCATCAATAAAGTTGTTGTTCAACAAATACTTAGTTGATTGATAAGGTTTCTGCCTTTAAAAATACCTCAAAGTTCACACTGGATTAATATTTGCACAATACTGAAGTTAAACACACCTTTATAGCAGCTGTTTCTGTAACTAATCAGATGCCATGTTAGTGCTTTTCGCCCTTCTATCTTTTCCTTGATAAAGCTTCTTGCACTGCTTTCTTGGTGGCATTTCTGCTTAGCTTACTGCTTCATGGTGATTCAACCCAGGCTTCTCAGCCTGCTTCCATGAGAATTCACTTTGTTCTGTTGTGGGTGATGACTAAGTAACATTATGAGATTTCAGTGGCAGCAGTGTGTTTCCTGATGTAGAATCTTGTTTCTGAGAGCATTTTAAGACGTGCTGTCTTTTCTGTGACGAAGGAAGCTGAGTAGAAGCTGGTTCTACGAAGCTCCTATTACCGTGCCTGTTTGCTTCCTCGCAGCTGATGAGAATGTCAAGGACACTGGTTTTTGTTTTTTGGATTGATTACAGACACGTGAGTGAAATGATATGTCAGGCCAAGTTAGCCATGTAAACATATTCTTTGTACCAAATAATCAAAGTTTTGTCATTTCTTTTACTTAAATATATACTCTATTTTTTGAAGTTGGTAAAATTGCTCATAATTTGAATATGTAAATACAGTAAGTATAAAATTTAAGTGTAATGCTTTCCAGCTTGTTAAAATCGGTAATGTAAGAGAAGAAAGAATAGATCCTTTTTGCAGATTCTTTTTTTTTTTTTAAGATTTATTTATTGTTATTGGAAAGGCGGATACACAGAGGAGGAGAGACAGAGAGGAAGATCTTCCATCCGATGATTCACTCCCCAGGTGGCTGCAACGGCTGGAGCTGTGCCAATCTGAAGCCAGGAGCCTGGAGCTCGTCTAGGTCTCCCACGCCGGTGCAGGGTCCCAAGGCCTTGGGCCATCTTCGACTGCTTTCCCAGGCCACAAGCAGGGAGCTGGATGGGAAGCAGGGCCTCCAAGATTAGAATCAATGCCGATATGGGATCCTGACATGCAAGGCGAGGACTTTAACCACTATGCTATCGTACCGGCCCAGATTCTTTTTTTAAAAGTTACATTTCCTTTTTTATATTGTAAGGTAGTTTTTAATTGAATATCATTTATAGATACAATTCGAAGAGTATAAAGATGTTCCCATTCCTGCACTCTCCCTCTTTCTATAGTTTTGTTCTTTCTATAGTTTTTGAGATAGTATATTTTAAAATTTTTATTATAGTCAAGAGTTTAATGCTTCACCAAATAAAAATTTTAGCAAGTGAAAAGCAAAAAGAACCTAGCTTAATCTGACTATAAGCAAGGGCTGTAAATGAGTCTCTAGTGGAAAGATGACCATTTCACCCTTACGCAGTACATTTTAAAGTAATACCAGATCATTAAAACTTCGGTAGTATAACATTCTATAAAACAAAACAAGCTTCATTTTTATTGGAAAGGCAGATTTACAGAGAGAGGGAGTTAATTCATCTGTTGACTCACTCCCCAAATGACTACAACTGGAGTGGAGCCTGTCTGAAGCCAGAAGCTGCTTCTGGGTCTCCCACATGGTACAGGACCAAGTACGCAGGCCATCTTCCACTACTTTCCCAGGTTATTGGCAAAGAGCTGGATTACAAATGGAGTGACCGGAACTCAAACAGGCGCCCATATAGGATCCTGGCACTACAGGCAGAGTTCTAGTGTGTCTTACCCTCAGCGCTGGGCCCCCAGTATAACATTTTCAGCCATTGGTTTGGCAAAGATATAAAACAAAAATTGACAAGAGTGTATTTGCAGCAGTACTAATACACACATGTATTTCTATTACCAGACCTTGTTTATAGTGGTGTGGAGAACTCTTTTAATAGTTACAATCTCTGAAAGTCCTTAAAATTACAAAATGACTAGATTCTGGATAAATTTCATCTTTAATTGCATTGGTGCACTCTAAGGAAGTGAATTAAAACCAAACTACAAGTACAATGCATAATAATCAACAGAATTAGGTTCTAACGATTTGATAAAAAGGGATTATACAGACCTTCTGAAGAAAACAAAGTTGAATCACAAAAACCAGCAAATAATGAGAAAATACTCAAAAAGTAACCAGGCGGGAGCAGGTATTGTGTGGTGCAGTGAGGTAAGCCACCGTTGTGGAGGCCTGTATTCTCTCTTTAAGTGCCTGGGCTGTAGGTCCACCTCCACCTCTGCTTTCAGCCCGTCTTCCTGCTACTATGCCTGGGAGGCAGCAGATTTCCAAGGAGAAAAGATACAGAAGGAGTGACAGTGCTGCCATCTGCTGGTAAACTACCCAGATCCTTATATGAGCTGAGTCTGGACTAAGCTGAAACTAGAGACTCAAATGGCAGGCTGGAATCTAACTGCTTGCAGCATAATTGTCACCTCCCAGGGTACAGATAGCAAGAAACTAGAGTTGGATCCAGGCATTCCGGTAAGAGATGCTGGTGTCCCAAGCAGTGCCTTAACAAGCAGGTCAATTATTTGTTTATAGTGTTTTATCCAAAGGTAGCCCATATAGTGTAGTATGGTCAGAACCCAAGCAGAAAGCTCGTGTTTTACTTGCTTGTGTAATAAGATGAGAGCTTGCAATTACTGGACTTGCTTGAAAATAAAGTGAAAATCCTGGGAAGTGGGTAGCCACAAAATGTGATTATATACTGCCCAAATCTTTGGCAGATCTGTGTAAACACTGAGGAAACTCATTAAAACCTGGCAGATAGCACTAACTAGAATGCTGAAAGAACTGAGCAGAAATTTCAGTTCCTGCCCATCACAAGAAAGAAAGAATATAGAGTTTGAATTGACTCAAACTAGATGCCTATCCAAACAAAATTGAGTTGTCAAGAGTAAGATAACAGAATTCAGAATCTCTGTCATGTCATGAAGTATCCAGCATACAATGAAGTACTACCAGACTTGCAGAAAGAAAAAGAAAATATGATCCTTTGTTGAGAAAAAATTTGTGCTGAAATTGGCTTCAACATGGCACAGATGTTTAGAATTAGCAAAGACATTAAAGGACTCATTGTAAGTATGTCCAAGGACTTAAAAAGTTGAGACATTGATTGTCACAATGAGGAAGTCTCCAGGGAGCCTTAGAAGAGAAATAGAAAATTAAAGAAGTAAATGGAAATGCTACGTCTTAAAGCATATCTGTCATAAAAGTATTACCTGAGCTTTTCTGGAAGAAGTGAATTTGAAGATATTACAATAGAAACCATGTAAACAAAGGAATAAAAGGGGGAAAAAACAGACCCTTCATGACTGATGGAACAACATCAAATGGTCTCGCTTGTACTTAGTGTTGTAGAAATAGAATAGGGAAAACAGTATTTTAATAAATGATAACCCACATTTTTGCACTGAAAATATGAAATTACAGATCAAACTCTCCACCAACCCTTATCTGTAACTTCACCTCTGAAACAAGTAAGTCTTGTTTTTTTTTAACATTTATTTAATTTTTATTGGAAAGGCGGATATACAGAGAGGAGAGACAGACAGGAAGATCTTCCATCCGATGATTCACTACCCAGGTGAGCGCAACGGCCAATGCTGTGCTGATCCGAAGCCAGGAGCCTCTTCCGGGTTTCCCACGCAGGTGCAGGGTCCCAAAGCTTTGATGGGAAGTGGGGCTGCCGGGATTAGAACCGGTGCCCGTATGGGATCCTGGGCGTGCAAGGCGAGGCCCTTAACCACTGTGCCACTGCGCCGGGCCCAAGTAAGTCTTTAAAAACAGGAAGAGAGGACCACAAAGATGCCAAAGCAATTCTAGTTTCTGGAGAAAATATATGAGAATTTGTTACAATCTGGGTGGGTGAAAATTCACTGAAAGAAATAAACATAGAAAAAAAAGTTGAGATTTCATTTAATTTTAAAATGATCATTTTTTAAAAGACTTATTTATTTCTTTGGAAATGCAAATTTACAGAAAGAAGGAGATAGCGAAAGATCCTCTGTCCGCTGGTTCTGCTCCCCAAGTGGCCACAATGGCGAGAGCTTCCTTCTGATTTTGCACCCTGGGCCATCCTCCACTGCTTTCCTCAGCCACAGGTAGAGAACTGGATAGGAAGTGGAGCAACCAAGACAAAAACCGGTGCCCATGTGGGATTCCCATGTGTGCGAGGCAAGTTTAGGCACTGAGCCATCACACCAGGACCTTACAGTGTTAATCTAAAGATACCATAAAGCAGATGAATTTTCAAGCAACTGAGAGGATGTATCTACAAGGTCTATATCAAATAGCTTATGTTAGGGAAATAAAGAGATCTTGGGTTTAGTGCTATGGCCTAGTGGATAAATTCAGCATCA